AACCAAAGCAAAATTCGGCAAGACTTATCAAAAACTACTTAAATGAGTGTAATCACATGACATATTTGGGCTATTGTATGATTTATAGGCAGAAAAATAACACATGCCGGTGTAATGTAACATTCGGTTGATTTCCGATTTTCTACTGCCGCACTCCTTCATGCTGCAGCGACGCATTTTTATCAATACTTAATTGTCAGTGTCAATCTAATCAAGCAAAATTTTACGGAGTACAGTCAGACTACTAAGTATTATGTAAGCAAAATATCATTTTAGAACAGTACGTAGGTAAAACACTCATTAAAACCTACTCGAACTCGAACTAGCGTTTTCGCCCTCTTTACAAAACCACCAACGATATACGTATAACTATCTGAAGCATTTAAGGTAGCACCATGAATAGTTACAAACAACGTGTCTTTACTATATTTTTTAATACAGTTGCTCAAAACGTGGTATTTTTCGTACTACAAATCGTGCCGAAAGTGGGATTTTTCTCACTAGTGCTTTTTATTTTTCCATTTTTTTTTAAATTTACTGTTGTTTCAAGTCTTAAACATAGAACTAAAGAGGTTGTATATTTATTTAACAATTATGTACTTTGTGACGAAGTCATTAGTCATTAAAACTTATATTTACTTACAAACATCTTATTTGTTTAAATTGCATAGGTGTTTTATAATACAACGGGTTATATTTAAAAATACCAAAATATTTTCCATAAAGATGGCTGATTGAGTATTAACAATGACCGGAGGTGAGTATTACGCGAGACCGCTGCGCGCCGAGCCATTAAAATAGTAATTTTAATGTGGCTGAATACTGGCAACTGTTGACATTGTACTCTGAATTTTTACCAGACAAAGAAATAAAATGAATTTTTTTTAAGATACTGTTTTATTTTAGTTTCGATGTAGTTTTTTCGCAAATGTATTAAAAACGTCATTTGATACACGTGCGGATTTGTCATTTTCGCTTGTCTCGTGAATAATGACTAACTTTCCGCACTTGTATCAAAAATAACTATTAAAGCACACTTCTTGTTCTACCTGAAAAATACATTCAAATCACATACGAGGTATCATATTATACATTCTTAAAAAAATGGACGATATCTGTACATATATATTTAAGCAGTATATGTATAGAGAGATAGACAGGTCGGTTTTTCACACGAGTTTAACGTGTATTATGCCAAAGATAAGGAAAGCCATCAACCATTGAAGCAATCTATTGTCACGTAATAACACCATTGTGGACAGTTAACAAATAGGGAATACCAAAAAGCGAATTGTTTATTATCGTTTAGTAAACAGCCTTCTATTGTTCAGTGTTAGCAACTAGTTCAGTTGAAGTATGATACAACCACCGTTGTGTGGTGTATAAATAAATTATGAACAATTGGACCTCCCGAATCTCAACTCCGTATTAAGAATCTACACTACCTCAAATGGGTTTGGTTGATTCCGCAAAACATTGACAGTGTTGAATTAATCACTTTGAAAAAATAAACTAAAAACAGAACGAAACATTTCTTCTAACTACACTACCGTAGTAAAGCTGGTTATCAGACATTTTGAACAAAATCATCAATCAATTTAGGAAACGAAACTATTTTTCCGGATTTAATTCGCGTATATTTGTTTTTTCAAACAAACCGACGATTTTACCCCTTTACAGGGGCCATATGTTCAACCGTGACCATGTGACCTGTAAAAGGGTCCGAAACGTCGGTGTGTTTGAAAAAACAAAATAAGCTATTTAAATCCGGAAAAATAGTTGAAATTAAACTACTATGTGTAACAATCGCGAAAACCTAACTTGAAGTTTAGGTAAAGTTAAATATAGCCTGCCTATTCCGATCTCTGATTACTACACTATTAATCATGGGTGTTTTGGGTGATAACATCTCAAGTAACCAGACCCTACACTTGATTGGTTAGGACTAACATACTGTTAACTTACTCGGAACTGACGACTTGATGAATAACGTCTACTAACAAGCAAAAACATTTCACAACTCGCAAGTGATGCGTAATCTATGAGTAGTTTTAATATAATGTCTGTGGACGCAAATGGTGTATTCAACAAGATGGATGCAATTGATGCATCACGAGATGAAGATAAATAAACTATTTTAGAAGATGGACGCACGTAGAGTATCCCATTAAATGGATACAAGTGGACTATAACACAAAATGGACGCCAGTGACTGTTCCAGAAGAGAGATAAGTGTACTATAAGAGTTCGACGAGATGAACATAAGTGGTTTATTCTACAAGGCGAGACACACAGACGTTTCTGATCATCCTTGAGTTTCTTCTGCAATTTCGTTCCACAGTAAATATGGCATATTAACGATCGGTGGGCAAAACACTCTAGGTGTATATTAACACCTTGTTACATGCAATACAAATCGATTGCAATAGAAATTCTCACGCCCTTCATGTGTAACAATCCCTTAACATCCATAACAACTTTTAGAAACCAGAGTTCTTTTGTTCAACGCGAATAGTGGGTGCTTTTTGGAATAATTTCGTCAATCTTTTGTTTCATACGTCATATCGTAATCTGTATTGTACTTCTCGTACGTATACCATTTGTGTGCAAGAATACGTTGTAAACACAGCGTTGAACAATATAGATTTTAAGGTTTCTGACTACGGTATACGATATACGGTATCTTCTTTCGATATTTGAGAGAGGTTACGCTTCATTTTTACGGGTTCACAAGCAGGCTTTGGTGAAGTAATAAAAAAAATATACGTGGGTAAGAAAACGCACTGGTGTCAAATCTGTCTTGTGATTGGTTAGCAAAACGAATACCACATTAAACTTTTATGGAAATACTCTGCTCAGGTAATTAAATAATATGAGAAATTCACGAGTAGGTACGCAAAAGTATACGACGAAGCCACAGTCGCTAACACTAACAACGGTCTGCGTTAAAATTATGTAAACAGTGGAACTAACAAGAAATATAAATGGTAAGTTTAATTTACATTTTGTTTTATGATTCCATGTGACCGGAAGAACAAGTCGCGCGCCTGGTAAGCGACACGCCTGTCCATATTGTCGCCGTTTGTCGAAAGGGTGCCGACAAAAACGCAAAAACGAGAAAATAATGTTTACAGAAATGATAACGAAAAATATCTACTTTTCTCTTGGGGTAACTCGTGCTTTATCCATATAGGAAAAAATAAAAATAGTGACACATCAGCCTTTTTTACTAATGACGGCTGTGTATATACCAAAAATTTTTGAAAAAATGTCTCATGTACCGTTTCAACTAACGGCATCAGCATAACAGTTGCAATGCCACTCAGAGCTTTAAACCGCATAGGTCTGAGGGGCACTGCCACTGCACCCGTCCCCTAAGACACAAGTTGGCAAGTCCCATGTGCCTATAATTTCACCAGCACCCTTACCCTCCCAAGTCGGAATATGTTCAAAGTGATTCAGTATAATTGACACAAATCAACCAAATGCCAATGACGTCCAGGTGCGCTTTTCTTTTGTTTTCAGTTTGCAATCTATAGTGCACCGTAAATGTATACACTAAGGTTGAGATTTCTCTGAGTGAGTCCTTACGTTTTCTTAGTATGGTCTTTTAAATCATTTTAACGCAGAGTACAAAGCAAATGTTTTCTTGTTTGTAATTACAAATGCATATCGACTTAGGGTGATGGCAACAATATTAGACATTTTAAGGGAAGTGTGTCTTAAAATTTTGTTTTTTAAATATATGCCCATAGTGATTAGTTTACTTGACAAATATAAACCTTCAGAAAGATTATGCTGTACTATGTTTTATAAAGAAGCTATTATAATTATTACTAAAAAAACCTTATCTAGAATTTCTTTAAAGCGTGAAACACACCGAGCGCGGGCGCAGGACGGGCGAACGCGCCCGCGCGTCCATATACATTTATTTATTCTTAGGAAGGTTTACAACATTCTTTAATATTAATTTATAAACTGAATGTAAACTTATAAGCCTATTAAAAACCTCCACATACGAAAATATATACACGAAATACATACACGAAATGACCCGCCGCGGTCCCGACCCGACTCGCGCCCGACCCGCATCTGCTCCCTATGTGTTTCGTGCTTAAATCTACAGTAATGAACACCAAAAATCCACTAATTAACTAACCAGCCCCTGTAGTATGCCGCCGCGATAAAGCTATTACATTCACATTTAGCTGTGAAATTCGAGTGATAAAAGGCATTTTAAAATTTTATCACAATAATTAACATGGCGAGCACCGTGACGTCACATTTTTTTATCATCGCGAGCGCCGCGAGTGATAGCTGCAAAAGAATATCGCAGTGCCAAACATATCGCAGTGACAGACAGTTCTGCACAGCAATTTTATCAACGTAAAAATTTTACGACAAACGAGATAAACAGAAATAATAAACACAAACAAATTAATTCGCATAAATTATTTAAAAGAGGTGAGGAGAACATTTTTCATGCAGTTCAACACATGAGAGTAATTAGAAATATGTAATTAATAACTAATTTTATGTAAAATATGTAAAAACTACAAAAACTCGGCACGTTTTCGCGGCGATGATTAAATGACAAAGTTAACTATAGGTATAAGTAATGACATATCGTTAACGTTGTTCTATAAAATGTATAACAATAGTTAATTACCAAATAAACTATTGTTATACATTTTGCAGAAAAGAATTTATCTATAAAGAATTTACCGATTCAGTGTTCGCAATAAAAAAAAATAATAATGGCAACTTAGCTTTATCAACTGAAATAAATTTGTCACGGAAAGATTCATCAGACATATACTACCATGCTACGGCCAGAATACTCGACACTCACCAATATTAAACACCCAGTAATTGACCTCTGTACCAATAAGTAACGTGCAACCATGATAGAAAATTTTCTCCTAAATCTTATTAGACATTAATTTAAAGAAAAGATGTTCAACAGTGGTGCTTATCGGTAACTGGCGCCCCTACCTTACCTTTTTCACTAGCATCGTCCACCAATATGATCTCCTTGAGCAGCGGGGCTGGCGACCGGTTGATTGTACTCCAGATAGTTCTGATCAGCGTCGACCAGGCCTCGTTGTGGAAGACGATGACCACACTTGTCGTTGGCAGGAGATCTGGGTACTTCTTGGTTTTGCATCTGTTTGAAGAATATGAAAATTTATTGGAATAATTTTCATTATTAAAAAGGACTATTTCTATTATTTAACTGCCTCCGTAGACGAACGGTTACCATACTGGACTGCCACGCAATGGTCCCGGGTACGATTCCCGGGTCGAGAGAAATATTTGTATGGGCTACATTTATTTCTCGCGTAAGTTTAGATTTAATTTGTGAATTTGTGGTAGTTTATGTGAGTGTCCATGGCACCCGCAACACAGGGTTTCCCTAGTGCGGAGCTATGAGTGTGTGCGTTATTATCAAATTGGAAAATTAATAGATTTACAAATAAAAAAAAATTCTCTATGTTTCACGCGCTAGCTGCCAAGTTTGACTGAGAAAATTACTATTAACACCGTGAAAATCATTCGCTATGGTGTTTTGCGTTCACGAGACTATCGCAAGCGAAGTTTATAGTATGAGAATTTATTACGTGCTACTTGCAATAAAAAATAAAAGCAAAGCAGGAACATTATCGCGGTAGTGATTCAACATAATGATCAATGGGCGGGATAGGACTTGTAGGAACAAATTGATGTATGTGTGCAATCATCATCATGAACCGGTTCATACGTTCCACTGCTGGGTAGGAGTCTCAGGCGAGGGTTTAGGCCAATAGCCCGCCTCGCTGACCCGATGAGTCTTGCGTTAAGTTCAAGGTTGCCACGATTGAATAATTTTGATTTAAATCAAATGATTTTTTCAATAAAAATCAGTGATTTAAAAAAAATCTCTTTAATTTTATTTTCTTTCACAGAAATCAACATAAAATCAGACAATTATATCTTAAAGACTGGTATTTTACATCTGAGAAATCATTATCATTATTATATATAATAATTAAACAAAACAAAAAAACTAGCTTGCTGCGGTTAATTAACTTTCTACATTACTACGTTTTACGCAAAAATATAGTTAAACTGTATGATAAAATGAAAAAATAAAAAAAATCGTGATTAATTAGGATTTTTTTCAAAAAATCGTGCTTAATTCGATTTTTTCAAGAAATCATGATTTTCTAACCCTGGTTAGGTTATAAACTTACTTAGCAGCAGTAAAGCTCCTCGTGAAAGAGTTCGTCCAGGGAAGTACTGCCACCTTACCTACATATGTCTGCCGCCAAGCAGTAATGTAAACATTACTGCTTTCTACGGTAGGTACGGTTTTGAATGGTAAGAGTGCTGGCGAAATTACAGGCACATGGGACTTGTCAACTTATGTCTCTGGGCGGAGGGCGCAATGGCCCTCAGATATTCGTGATTTAAAGCTCTAGGTGACACTGCACTTCACCTTCACTTCACTTGGTATTAAAAAAAAAATAAGCGCGTCTTTAAACAGTCTCGGTCACTACCAAACCTATGAAAATATATCCTAGGCCTATAACCTAAGAAACGACACGACGATTTGTGTAATTTGACACTGAAAAACAACATTAACGAAGAGTAAAACAAGAAATTTTAAATTATATTACATTGCCATAAGTTTGCATTTTATTTGCAACGAATTGTAATCGTAAGAAAAATACATAATGCACATTACATGGTACAATTACGTTGAAAGCGTAAACGCGAAGCGACATAATATCGTAAAAATATCGCATGATTGAAATATATTACCCCAACTATCGAGGAAATCGAGTTTGATGTGTTTTTATATCATCACCAGTATGGCAATTACTGGTGCAAAAGTGGAATGCCATTTTACTCTTTTACTCAGGGTTCGAAGTAACCATTATAAAGATAATTTATAAAATTAATTGGAAGAACAACATGGTACCGCTGGCAGTGACATGCTATGTGTTTTTTTTAATACAACGCACACACTCAACTCACACATAGACAACCACAAATTACACCCAAACTCACGAATGTAACCGTCCGGCCACGGAGGCAGTTATATGTCTATATAACATGTATAAAATGTTTGCATCCGAGACGCCTCGGCACGCAGTCGACGCGCACACCCACAATCGAAATATCACAAATGTGGATCCACCTGTGACTATGAGACCTCTTTTACCGTCATCCCACCTTTTTACCACCCTTTTCTCTGGTTCCTGGCCACCTACTTTAAAATTTTGAATATTTTTAAATTTCTTTTCTTCTTCGTCACTTATTTTTCTTCTTTCCATCGCCAGTCTCCACTAAATTTCCGAAGCGAGCTCATGTGCTCGACTTCACATAAAATTCTGACCAGTTAAATCATGTGACCTGACTGCTTGTAAAGCATAGTATTTCTAGAAATTACAAGCCCTTTTAAGATACTTGGTATGTAACGGGCTGGTGTCCGCAACTCGACTAACCCTTTTGGGGTAAGTTCCTGTACTAGTATAATCTGTATTTAAGTAGGGATTGTTTTATACGACTGTACCTGTTTTCACATCATTGTTTTGTTACAGCCTTTACGACTTTACTTTACCTGTTCTTTTCCCTTCCTCTACTCTTTATTTGTACAATAAAATTCATGTGGACCGAGACTTGCATTTACCACACACCTTTAGTTACAGGTCTTTTTTTTTTATAATATTAAGTGACGGGACGAACAAGTAGTCGTGCGCGTGATGGTAAGCGACACGCCTGTCCATAATAGTTGCAGTGGCACTCAGAACTTTAAATCGCAAAGGTCTGAGGGGCATTGCCACTGCGCCCGTCACCCTAAGACCCCAAGTCCCATGTGCCTGTAATTTCATCAGCACCCTTATACCCTTCAAAACAGGAACACAGTGATGCTGACATTACTGCTTGACTTTACAGATTACTGTTTTTTTATAATTTACCAAAAAAAATTATATCATTTCTTGACTGCCTAAATGCCTAAACTTTAAGCATGGAAACCGACTTTTGAAATAAGTCTCGTTTCCCTGATATATTTGATACCGCACCGAGTCTCGATATTTTTTCCCGGGAGGCGGAAATGCAGCTAAATTAAAAGCTCTAATCGCCTTAATATGATTCCATTTCGATAGATGTGGTCACTCCCATACCTGGTCTCAAACTAGGGAGTTCTCTGAACTATGAGTACCAGAGCAACGGAATTCTTTCCGGAGCACCCGGAACCCACAGATATAATCAGTTTAGAAAAGTTCATTTCCTAAATTGGTTCTACCGGGAATCAAACTCGAGACCTCCTCATGCAGCCCCCTAGTGCAAACCGTAGCGAAGCGTTTGTGACAATCTGTGATATCGTCGACTAAGCTTGAAAGAAACATAGCTTTTGTAACGAATCGCAGTAATCGCTACAAATCTTTTTTGTATATATTTTATAGTCTCTTTAAGTTTTACTTTTATATTTAAATTCTAAATTTAAATGTGATTGTTTTTGGCGCCTTTTCTTGACTTTTGTTTGCTATTTTGCTTTGAAGTTACACGTTGTTTTCTAATAAATTTATAAGGTGTAAGTACCTACGTTTTTTTTAGCCTAGCTCACTCGTTGTTAGCACACACCCGTTAATACAGTCCGCTACAGCTTTGAAAAATGTTTTTTATCTACTTCGATTCAGAATTTTAAGTTCTATGCTGTGACGTAAATCGGTCAATGTCGGACTAGTTAGTGTTCACTAACTAATTTCCGTGGCAATTGTTATTATTTAAATATTCAAGTATTTTATCGTGTAACTATTTTTTTTTTTTTTTTTTTTAATAACGCACACACTCAACATAGCCCCGCACTAGGGAAACCCTGTGTCGCGGGTGCCATGGACACACTTAGACAACCACAAATTACACCCAAACTCACGAGAGAAATAATTGTAAGCCATACAACTATTTCTCTCAGCCCGGGAATCGAACCTGGGACCTCTGCGTGGCAGTCCGGCATGGTAACCGTTCGGCCACGGAGGCAGTTATACTATAAACTAATATAAACTATAAAATATAACCTAAAATATAAACTAATATAACTATAAAATAATATTTCACGTAACACTACTCGAATATTAAATAATATCTCACGATAAAAAAAAATAGAATACATTTTCGTGAATTATGTAACTTACGCCATTAATGTTGGAAGGACCAATATGAACCACGTGTCCTTGAATGTCAATGAATCTATTGTGTATCAATCTGAGTCTATTCTATCTCGTTGCTTATACTTTAGATTAGGTATCTAGTACAATGCAAATCACCGGACGGACAGAAGAAGCGTGCATTGTACACACTTTCATACCCATGAACTCGAACAATGCGGGTACTATCGGTGTTGAAATTTTCACAAAGACCTGCAGTTATTGCACGCTTTTATTTAACAAAAATTAGAAATCACAAAGTTGTATTTTAGTACATATAGGGTCGTATTCCAGAACTCTACTCAATGCTCAAGTCAGGATTTGAGCAGACTTGAGTATGATTTCAAGCACTGGAAATACGACTCAATGGGAAGGTCTTGAGTATGATTTTCAGTGCTCACTGCAATACTCAAGTTCTGACTTGAGTATTGAGTACAGTTCTGGAATACGACAAATAGTATCAGTTCCGTTGAGACAAATGTTGCTTAATAACGATGAAATGGTTGAACGGGTTTGGATGATACTTGGTGGGTTACTACCCTAGAAGCAAGGTCGATGCATAACCACCCTTTCATGGCCGGTAACATCGTTTACTGTAAAATTAAATATTAAATAACGCTATAGTACCCTGGTACCGTTCGTATCGTTTTGCTATATGAAACTCAAAAACACCAACTACAGCGTGGCCGAACAGTTACCATGCTGGTCTGTCACGCTGAAGTACCGGGTTCGATTCCCGGGCCGGGAGAAATATTTGTATGGCCTACAATTATTTGCTTCATGAGTTTGGGTGTGATTTGTGGTATCTATGTGTGTATCCATGGTACCTGTGCATGGCATATGTGTGCGTTAAAAAAAACAGGCTTTACAATGTGATTCACAAGTGCTTTCTGGAGAATTTCCCTTTATTACTATTACTTTTCCATAGAAAAGTATCAACAACAAACTCAATGATTTACATACATTAAACATTTTAAATTGAATCAATACAAGCACTACGACAAGAAAAGTACTGACTTTTTTGTGTGCGGTACTATTTATGCACTGTCCATAAAAGGGTTAAGGATTCTTTTTGGGTGTGGACAACGGCAGCTTACCTTGTCAACTAACGTTTAAGGGCTCGATCATATTTGTATAAACCTTTTGTTTCAAAAGGTTTACACAAAAAAGGGTCAACAAAATTCTGGGCTAGCTACAATATCAGTTTGCAAAAAAAACTTTTTGAAGACTGGGAAGGACTTTGACGATAATAATTTTTATTATAATATGAAGAAGGTCCATGCGTAAAGGGTACTTTAAAGTTTAAGGATACGAAAGAAATTGAATCAAATCATCACTAACGCACATCTATATTTTCTTTTCACTAAAAACATTATTTTTTCTGTAAGTGCCAATTTTATGATATAAATTAATGTTTAATATTGTATTGTAATGGTTTCCCGGTTATGCAACGAATTATGTATAAGTTAAGTTTTTATTAAGAATTAAAAGTTCTCTATATATCTTTATCGTAAAGTTTTAGTGGTTTTTACACGCGGTTGAAGTGGGCTTAAAAGCCCATTAGCACTATTTTTGGTCCGGGTTATGCAAGTGACAAACGGAAGCCACCCTGAAAATAAAGTCCTCAAAATAACTTCAAACTTCCTAAAGCGATGAAAGTGAGTGTGACAAAATTAACAACCAGCTAACGAGTGACAATTAATTACGTCACTTGTTCATGCATAATTAAGTTTGTATTTGTCAATATGGTTCGCATTCTTTGTATTATCTCATTCCGCACCTCGCTGACTGTCGTATCTGAATTTTTTTTTAATTAACATTCTTTATTAATCGTCGTATGTATGTACAGCGCTAGACATAAAGTGATGCACCGAAAATATGTTGCCCTGAAAAATCTGCCTTAAGTTAGTCTGGCAGTTCAATTTCCAGTTAGAAAAGCAGCGAATTTACACGTGCCCAAAAATATAATTTTTTTACTTTTGAAACTGCAGAAGTCCGTGCGCGACATTATCGTCAATATTTCCTAACAAATAATTTAATATCACCTTCATCCGATCACAATTTCGGAAATTTCACGATCTAAACTAAATAATGCGATAGAATGTGGGTAAACCAGGCGCTAAAAGTGAAATGTTAAAACCTATTTACGCGACTATGACCTTACAATCGCAATGTCTAGAGGGAGTCGGTTACAGCATTCCACAAAGCTGACGCACCGCAGAGTCACGCGTCAAATTCGATGTTAGGACCCGCGTCATAGAAGCCAGTGCTATGTCAAAATCTTCATGTTCGTGTCAGAGCTTCCTTACATGTTTAGAATACAATAGAGTGGACTCTTTCGCTCTCTATTAGTATAAAATGGACAACAACATTTTCAGGTAAGTTAGATAAGTCACTTATAGGTAATTCAATGATAAGTCAGAAAAAAAATGGTGACGGTAATTAGGCTGTAAACACCCAATTTTGAGAATGGCCGTAATATAGTTTTCATGTGCGCCATGATTTGCTTTAAAATAAAAAATAACCCGACCTCAAAGGTTCGTGGAATTACATCTATTTGCCAAGTTTTATTTAAATCGGCTACCGGAAAGTGCGCGAAACCGGATTCATGGCCTAGTTTCTCAGCCTTAGAGGTGGAATATTCTGTTCAAATTCTTCTGAGGTACTCTCATTCCAACAAAAAACGAATCATCAAAATCGGTTCACAAATTATCTATTACAAATACAGTCGAATTGAGAGCCTCCTCCTTTTTTTCACGTTGGTTAAAAAAAATAAATGAGTAAGTACTCACTTCTCGAATCGCACGTCGGCGAGTGACCGGTTGAGCGAGATGAGGTCGCTGGCCATCAGGTTGAACTGGTTCTCTTGGAACTTATCCAGCATCACCTTCTCTTGCTCTGCTGGGATGTTCACCGCTTTACCTGTAATTTGTCACTTGCTGTAGCAGCGTTTCCAAAACCTGGTCCCGCAGTGCAATGAACTACGTTCAATAGAGGGTTTATTGATTTTACTATACTTTATTTAAGGGAGAGCCCGCGACAATGCTATCTAGACTTCATAGGAATCTGGAGCGTTAGGAAACGCTGTATTATAGTAGCACTAAGTTGCGATATCGTAAATTCTTACATTGATACGGTGACTGAGCGATTAGGCACTCATAAAAGCATACAAGTCCAATTCTCAGCATAAGTGTTTAGAAATGGATTTGAATGGGATTTTTTCTATGTAACATCAACAAAGTAAATAACTAAGTAATTTAAAGAAGAAAAAAGGAGATCGTAAAAACTATAACTAGGTAGTAAGTTGTGCCACACCTAAGGATACCATTTCGAAATTTGAATAATCCTGACAAAAACGCTGACATTTGCAAAAGAATCCGAAGTTTTTAGTAACAAGATAAAATCGAAAATCTTTCACCTGGTACCGATGTTTTTGCCCTCTGTAGCCAGCAGTAGTTTGTAGAAATTTAAAACTCGAGTTTGTTTTTATAATATTTTCAAAATAAAATACATTGACAAATCTTTACCCTTTTTCCGCATATTTACCCCCTAAGCCGAAAAACCCGGAACGACAAATCCTGACAAAATCGGGACAGAAGATCAAAAAGCCGGGTGGATCATAACCTTACCCACACCCAAAGATAAACTATGTGTCAATATTTTTGTTGAAAATATAGTGCCTTACATCATTTACGTAGCGTTCAAATTTGCAGTTTATAAAAATGACTGCATTGCCTAACCTCTGGCTGAGAGTACATTTCATATCAGTACACATCATATCATAAGTGCCAAATACAGTGACACACGAAAGACAGACTTGTGCATATTATAAAAATAATTATTATCATTGATACATCTAGAACAATAGCATTTATTTATTTACTCACTTGCATCAGTAATTTGCTAATGTGAAAGTTCAAATGTGGCATGCCAATGAAGTTCCATTAAAGGCAACCTAGATAGAGGGTCGAAATAAATAAAAATTTCATCGGCTGCAAGAGCAGATGCAGCGGAAATGATCCATTTAAAATATCTATCGTTCATTGGCATCCCATGTATTTAGAGCTTTAAGTAGGTGTTTTCGTTTATGTATCGGTTATTAAACGTAATGTAAATTGGAATACGTACTTTAAAAAATAAGATAAATTTTTAATTTTGTGACTTTAGTTCCGAATAGGCTGGATTGCATCAATATTAGACATAACTGGTAATGACGAATAATCATCTCCGCCTGTGACCATAGGACTTGTAAAGAGCCCGAAACGATAGTTTCTTGGAAAAAACAGATAACAAGTAAACGATTTTAGATCTGAATTCCTTCATTTCCAATGTGTAGTAATCGCGAAAACCTAAGAACTAAATTTAATTTATCAAATAGAGAACAATGGCGAAATTATTGTTAAAATAATTTTTTAGCGTTTTCAACTATCATAATTACAAGTTTACAAATAACTTCATTAGAATTCACCACCATCATTAATCAATTATGTTTTCGTAAAATTATTCCACTACTTTATTATAATTATTAAACAAAGATCGAACATTTAGGCAAAAATTACTCCGATCCGGTTGGATTCGAACCAAAGTCTCCTAGCAAACCGTACCAGATGCTATGCCAACTAAGCATTAATTAGATTTTGCAAGTTGTAAAGGCCTGTCTACGTCAGGAAATAAAATTATATTCAAATGAAACTCATATGACTAATTAGTATGTAGCCGAAATGATATTTACTACTGTCAGTTTCTTAGTTTTTTAACGGTGAGTGACCTCTAACCGTCAAAAGAGATTTTCAATATCTACGTATAGATTGGTCTACATTAAGTTACTTCACGTAACATGAAATGTACTTATTCGACTGTTTTGCAATAAGAGATCAACTACTTTATTACAAAAAATAAAGTAAATAATCTCCTCCAAAAATACACCACGCTAAAAAAACTGTAAAATTACAAAAAAAGTTCACGATATCAGGGATAGATGGCATGTCTCACAAAAAAAATGTGCCTGCATTACCAAAGCATAGTAGTACGTATTAACTCAGTTTTCTTTTGTTATATCTTAACTTCATGCCGTTTAACCATAGTATACAAAAATATTTTAACCTGAACTTTCTTTATGTCACAAACCCACAGCACCTTCAACTTCTATTAATTCTGTTTAAAGCTAGTATTTAATATTAATAATAATTTAAGCGGGTAGTTGTTGGACCCGTCCAACCAACTACCCGCGACCTTCTTCAGATCGTCGGTCCATCTCGCAGGGAGACGTCCTACATTACGTTTGCCGAGACGTGGGCTCCACTGCTGCGGACTCGAGAACCCGTCTACTCCATCGCTCATCGGTTCTGCGACAAATGTGGCGAGCTCACTGCCACTTCAGCTTGCTACATTTCTAGACGATGTCCACAACTTTAGTCTTATATATATAGGATAACTTCGTTCCGGACTGTGTCCCTTAACAAGATACCCAGCATAGACCTTTCCATAGCTCGCTGAGCGACGTGTAGTCTGTGAGCCAGTTTGACCGTCATATTCCACGTCTCGGTTCCGTAAGTTATGTCAGTAAGTCAGTCCGCTTTAACAATACATCGAATATATTTTATTTAATTATATAAAATATAACATCCAACACTTTAAACTGGAAAATCTTTAATTCTAGACAGCTCAGAATAGTAAACCAAAACCAAATTTGGTCTGGAATTTAAACTCTATATTTTCACGTATATTTCATAAAAAGACGTATACAAATTATGACAACAAAAATTAATATGGGAGTTCGCCATTGTACTTTGAGCAAGTGCAAAAATCACTATAAATGCATGGTAATATTACTAGCTAGCAAAGCTTAGCACGGAATGATGGGATAATGCTTATAACCCATCTCATTTTTAGTCTGCGTGATGTAGGTGATTGTGATATCACACTGTAATATTACTTTTTTATGACACCATGTGACGGGACGAACAAGTCGTGCACCTGGTGGTAAGCGACACGCCTGTCCATAGCAGTTGTATTGCCCGTCAGATCGCAAAGATCTTGGGGGCACTGCCACTGCGCCCGTCACCTTGAGACATAGTCTCATAATGCCTGTAATTCCGTTTACACTCGCATATCCACATGGTATCCATCTTCCACAATCCCATATTCACTACTAGTGCAAATTATAGAAATTAGTCTAGACAGAAACAAATTGTGAATCATTTATTTGGAAGTAAGTAGTAATTGCACATTTGCATTATAACAGAGGTATTGCTACGTAACTTGAAAATTTAAGTCACCATTCTCCCACTGGGCTACCACCGTTCTGTGTCAACAAAGCGACACTTATTTAAATACCACACATTTGTTATTCCAACGCAATACGCCCTTTCACATTGAGAACTGTTTCGCGGTCACGGAAACCAAACGTGGCGCTGCTAAGAATTTTTTACCAATACGTAAATATCAAATCACGTATTGTACCTACCGCATCGCGAGCATAGCAGAGAATTGTTACATTTCGTTCCTCTGTAAGTACTTATCATTACCTGCCGGATTTGACATTTTTGTCGCAAGTACATACGTACGTAATCTTATTTAGCTTTCAAAAGCGCAAGTGTTGCACTATTTTTTAAAGGGTTATTTGAAAAACACTAACAACATCGCAGATTATATCACACCCCGGACACTCCATACAACCCTGGAAAGTTGGTTACCTACTACTACTACATAAAGCAAGGCGCCATTTGCACACGCGCAAATGTGTGCGCGAAGTGGCAGGGTTACCCATCACTATCTCGTACTTACCACTATGACGTTACGTGGTCAGAGCGGGTACATACCGAATTAATTCTATTAATAGAATCGTAATAATTACACATGTACTTTAGGTATTTAATATATTGCCGATAGAATATATTAAATTTTCATTAATTCGCTAACTAGAATAATATTGAAGATTTATTTAAAAATATATTAAAAGCACTTAAATGTTATATTTTGGACAGATACTTTTATATAAGGTAACTAAGGAATTTGAAATTGCGTGTCCAGGTTTAGCTAGTTAGCTCACGAAGTTATGGCATCTCATTATATTGATTTAATAAATCTGTATTATGTATTACTCTGCACTAAATAAATGAAAAAATCAATAACTGAATGGGTCTTAGACAAGTCTTTTTAGTTGCTTCGTTTCATCTTTCGGAAAATTTTAATAATTAATCCGATTTTAGTTCCTTGCAAAACTAAAAATATTTAAATAGATCGCTCTAAACGACAACCCAGTGCGGTAAAAAAGAAAGCACTAGCCTAAACACAAAGTAGGAGCGAGGGTGAGTGCACGGGGAGGACGTCGTCACGTTTTAACTTCTTATAGTCTGTCTTTTTTTAAAACGGACTAAAATGTCAGTTAATTGCGCAAAAGTGCAAGCAGCTGGTGATTGCAGTCGATAAATATTCTATCGACTATCGACTGCATATTGGTCACGCCTGTGAAATAAATAGCCGAAAAATAGTCCTCGGCCTATTATTCGTTTAATTACTGAGCATATATTCATTTAGAAAGTCAATTCTTGTAAGTTTATACATACGTACACCGTATTTAGAACGATGTCCATAAAATACAAAGAGGAGACGTATTTTAAATAAAATCAAATCTGCTTATTCTTGTTAAAATGTATATGAATAAAAATTTATTTCGGCACTAATAGGCCAACTGTCAAAATAAGAATAAAGACAGCAATAACGCAATTAGTAGTCATTATAACGTCATAACATTCACAATTCAGACATTTTTGGTAAAATGTTATCTTCTTTCACAATCTATCGATAAAACGGTCAACAACAACACATGACTATTTAAAATTTTACGAAAACTGGAAACTTTGCAAATGTCATTTTACTCCGTCTTCAAAAAGGGCAGAGTACACTTTACTACCAAATGCAATCTAAGAAGTGTCAGATAGTACAAGAAAAACTTAAAATTTCATTTTTGGTAAATTTATTATGGAAATGAAACTATTTTTCCGGATTTAAATCGCGTATATTTGTTTTTTCAAACAAACCGACCAATTCAACAGTCAACCGTGACCATGGGACCTGTAAAGGGCCCGAAACGTCGCCGTCGGTTTGTTGGAAAAAACAAATATACGCGATTGAAATCCGGAAAAATAGTTCCATTTCCTATGTGTAACAATCGCGAAACCCTAAGAAATTTATTATGGTTTGAAAAAATTCATGGAACAAAAGTTATTGTTTATGGTGTTAGTACTGTGTCCTGCAAGCATTTTACAAATAACCCTCTGTATATTTGTGCTGAAGTCAAAAGATCCATATCAAACTTGCGTCGAGTGCATCCCATGCATACATACGCAATGTCAATAACGATATACAACAAACCGCCTGAGCATAAAAAACAAAAAGTCAGAAATTAATTAATAACTTAAAAAAACACTCTTATTAATAAAAGCTACTATACACTACAACAATATATAATCTGGACGATAAATTTATGTCACGTCGAACTTATAATTATTAGGCTCTAGTTGAATAAACTTTATTTATTATTTTTTGCTATTGTCTGGTACATTTATTATTACGTGACGTTCGTGATAACATCATAATAAAAACAACCACGTAGTACATGATCTCTTCATACAACTCGTATTAAGATGTCATTTCAATGAGATAGTGTACGGTGTATGTTTGTCATTTTCTCAGAAATGGACTTAACGAGAAGTATAAAACAGTACTACTCGTTAAAATTATATATTTTTTTCTATACCATTAACTACAAAAAAAATTCGCAAATCGTGTAAATTTAAAAAAAGGTGATTTTTTTGTACCAGGGTTATTGCGACTATCAGCATCCGTGGTAATCAGCATAAATTGAAATTACCGCATCTGCATCAGCATTCGCATTCATCGATGTTGATATGTATTGCGGATGTTCGAGTCGTGTCATAACCTAAAGGGTACGCTTCAATAATTTACAAACCTTCCAGAAACACGACTGTAAGCCGATAAAGCAGCTCAGCTTGTTTTTTTTTTCTAAATGTAACTTTGATAAAATTCTAGAACGATTGAGCTAGGCAGATCGATTGTTCATTTTATATTAAAATTTATATTATGCAATTTGCTTTTGCAAATGTCCACAGGCATTGCAAATAATCTGTTTTGAATAGTAGATTTTGAGATAGTCAATTTGTTATTTGATCGTAATTTGGGTGGTCGGAGTTATACAACAGAAATGCAGTAGCCACAAACAGTGTAGGATAAAGTCACGTCGAGTAATTTAAACGATATGCTCTATTAACTAAGAGTAGTTTAATTTACGAGCCATTTGGAAACAATGAACAGAACAATCAAGTGCTTAGTTAAGTTTATCACGCGAGTTCATTTTTAGTACGTCTGTAGCCCGTATGATTTTTTTTTAATTACGTTTTGGACTTAGCATCTTGTCACTTTAGCTGATATTCGTCAAAGTAAATGAATAAAATCCGTTTTGTCGGAGGTCGTTTTCGTAACTTTATGATTTTGAATGCCATCGAGATTGAATCATGCGATCGGTGGAGAACATCATATAGCTATACAAAGACAAACCACACGGTTATGAAATAACGTTGCCATTGTGTAAGTATTGTTAATTATTCTAATAAATACTGACGATAGAAGGATAGATTGTGAATGTCTTAAAACTGAATCTAAAATAACAATAATCGACCAAAGCGTACAGTAGACCTAAGGATGAAACATCAGAAGTATGTAGGAAACGTAATCCAAGCCTAACACGTATATATTAAAATGTCTTTACAATTTAAAAATAAAACTCCGAAGTATGTGTCACAATTTCACGTACAAAATTAAGTACAAAACTCTATGTCGCATTCCGGATTTACAATCGTACTGTTCAGTAATCCTTCAGTTCTGTTTCAAAATGGTTTACATACAATAAGGGCTGGGCAGTAATACGCATTTAAAACGCAAATACGTATTTAGTATTTCAATTGCTACGTAAAAATGTACTTTGCGATTGGTCATTTTGAAATATCTCACAGTATTTTTTTTTTTTTTTCAACAGACATCATGAAAGCATTATGTATTTTAAATACATAAAAGGAAGTATTTTGTAATTATCATTTTATCAAGTCCATAATATATTTTACTAATTTATTATTTATATATTTTGCCCAGCCCTGAATACATTATATAAGCACGGCAGACCTGGGCTTTAGCAGCAGCTAAGCTTCTTGTGCAAAGGATCGTTTAGAGAAGTATTGCCTCATTACCTATTTCCACCGCCGTACCATAATGAGAGCACCACTGTGTTCCGATTTTTGACAGATAAGGTGCTAATCAAATTCCAGGCACATGGGATTTGTCAACAAATGTCTCAGGGTGACGGGCCCAGTGGCAATACGCTCATATATTTGCGATTTAAAGCTCTGAGTGGCACTGCAACTGCTATGGAAAGGCGTATCGTTTACCACCATGTGCACAACTCGTTCGTCCCGTCAATTGATATAAAAAAATTATAAATCGCTCAAATTATTTTTTTAATAATCTAAAATGAAAATTTAAATATCTCAGACATGCTTCATGCTTGATACAATTAACGTCAATTAAGAGTGACCAGTTGTAGAACACAACAATTGTACAAATTATAAATACATTAATTGGGAATAGTTGAAGCAGTTTCTTAATTTGACGACCGGTTGTCAATTAAGTACTAGTATTTTTATTACAGGATTCCACACAATTATGATTATAATACGAATTAAAATAATGTATAAATTTATAATTCTTATTAGTTGCTTCATTTAAAATTATCTTTGTATCTATGGTGACTGTTAACAAGCTGCAGACTCAATAACTTGCATTACATTTACTTTGTTTTTTTTTTTTCAATTTGTACACCAGGATAAAATGTAAGTGTTAGTTTATAACAATTTCCAAAATTATTACCCACAGCATTATTTAAAAAAACAAAGGAAATCCTTCATTAAGATGCAAATCAATGGTAAAAATCTCCAATTAGCAGTACTTTGTTTATCCTGGACAAACAGTGAACAATATGGAGATTATTTTTATATTATGATAATAGTACGCAACACTCATAATAATTATAATATGCCAAAAAACCATAACAATATACACAATTACCAGAGTAACGAAATTTACTACAGGGCACTCAATAGAGCCGTCAGACCAAGACCTTATATGTATAACAGTTTGTTTCCTAAACCGTCCTACTGAGAGTATAAATTGATGCCAACCTCTGGGCTATATATGTGTCAAATTATCCACCAATATTTGGACAAACTAATCAATAACTTCCTATATTCATTTATTTATAACTGACTATTTTTTTTTGCTACAAAAGTATATGAATAAATCTTATTATTACATATTATTAAGTATGTGTATACATTCTAATAATTAATGCATTAAAAATTGTTTGAAAGCACATATTTTTATTTGAAACACTTTCATTAGAAGATTTTTTAGTTATACCCCCTTTTCAGCTCTTAAATTACATTAATTACATTAGCGTATTCTGAGATATATTACTGTTCTGTGTTGTCATTGTAATTATTAAGGTGCAATAAAGCATATTTCATTCATTCAATAGTTTGATTATTAACCAAATAAAAACATAAGTTAATTTAAACAATGAGTGTCAAAAAATATTATCAACCAAAATTATAAATTTCTTTCCGGACATGAAACTATTTTTCTTAAAACAACAGGCTGTTTACAGGTCCCATGGTCACAGCTAACTTCACCTGTTGTGAAATATATTTCCTATATTTTCGTATATATTACCTATTATAAATTATTAATTTGTAGATAGTTATGAGGTATCACCACTTAATTTATGGCTACTATTTACTTTTTTATGTTTAATAATACAAATGGTAGATATTTAGTATATATAATACAAATGGTAGAATTATCTTAATAGCCAACATCATAAGTCAATGACAAAGTCTGTCCTAATTTAGTAAAGAATGTTCTTTATTAGATATATATTAATATCTTAAATGTTCTGTAATTTACTTGAGACTTAATAGATATTGTGGATATTAGCTAAATACTTACCCTTTTCTCCAGGTAAGTCTTTTGATTTGGGTGTGACTGGGGGTGCAGGTTTCCATGACTTAAGCTTAGATTTAGGATAAGGGCTGAAAATAAGTCCATTATCCCCTATTACATCCTGTTCCAACTCATTTTCCTCTAAATTTGTATCTTCATCATTTATCTCTCTTTTTATTGCTGCAGCAATTGCGGCTTTCTTGCCCCGCACTTCTTCATGTGCCTTAAAATATTAAAAAAACATGAATGTTGATAAGGCATACAATAATTCACATAATACTTTGGCAATGCCTATTATAATCATCCTTAAGGTACAGGCCTTTGTGTCACTTATAAGAATAAATTGAAAAAAAATCATGCCATAAAAGGGCAGTCAAATTTAATTGCACAAACGCAAAGACTCTTTATCAATAACTCTTGTTATAGAGTAATAACATACAAACTTACACACAGTCATGTGAAAATAACTAACAAAGCTATATGTATAATAAAGGAGAACAATTTTAACATATTTTGTTGCATTTACAAAATACAACACTTACTCTATTGTACTTCTGGAAGAAAATTATTATGTAGGACTATCAAATAAAAACTGATAAGTAAAAATATTGATAATTAAAAAAATTGATAACTAAGCTGTTGTAATTCATTAATACAACTCAGATAAAGGTAACTATTTGATTTGTGCAAATACATGCCATCTCAAGATAAAAAACATTGTTATCTCTCATATCTCAACACTTTCTGCAAAATGTTATCACTGTTACACACGTAAGCTAGTACTATTCAAATTAGGAACTTGTTGGACTTCCTTTCATGGCTCTTCTGGATTCATCTCAAGTACGAATATATTCTAATAATTAACGTAATTTAAAGAGTTGTAACAACATCATATTTTAATTAATTCTTTTTATTTACTAGATTTGACAACCGGGGTGTGTACGTACCCGTAATTCGTAGTCGTTAGACTTACGACTGCAGTCCCACCCGCCAAGGCAGTCGGAATACGTGGCCAAGAGTATCACGTCAATTAGAAGCCACACCAGAGACGTGAGCAGAATTATCCTGCACGTGTGTATCCTTATTTTGCTTCTGAACATCGTATATAACTACACAGTACTCCACTGCCACATGTCACGACCACGATCACCGCTGTCTTCCTGAAATACCACCGCACAATTTTTGAACACATTCAAAAACAACTTACACCGCGGAGGCACAACGTAAACTTTGACACGCCTAATCAAATTAATTGGCAGTCTCGGCCGAGCGAATTAACAAAGTTAATTGGATTAATATGAAATCTTAAATTAACCGAACTATGAACTAGGTTTCCGGACCTAAAATGTGAATAAAGCAGAAATACTTCGCGAAGTTCAGGCTATGTAAACTGTACACGATGCCCTTTTACACATTTTGTATTGCTTTTGTAGTAAACTTACACGTTGCTATTTATAAATTAACAAATCTTTTAGTATTTCAGTGAGGAATCTGTGAATTTTCCTCACAAGAAATACCCTAGAAAGCGGTCGACAATCGCCAAACGTAATACGTCAAACTTTCTTTTTTCGCATATCGTGCGTGTCGCTCGCGTTCGGATACAAGAACAAAACATAATCTAAATAATGATAACTGTTGGCTGATGGGTAATTTTCCGGAAAATTTCAAGTAGTGGTAATATTTCTGGAAAAGATTAGAAATGGTGGAAAAAATGTAATTCGAAGGTTCATATTATGTTCTTCATTTAGAAATTGCATATTATTTGAAGTTTTGTTTAGCGTGAATTGTGAAATAAAATTGTAAAGCAAGATAATTATAGAAAAATGAGATTTAAAATAATTGGTCAACAGCGAAAAAAACATAGGCTCCATTATTTTCGTGCAGTAATTTCAACTTTTGAAAGTGGCAACGTCAAATGTGGAAAAACAGGAGAGAAGGATTCGTTCTGGGCATTTTGGAGGGAAAAGTGTCGTTTTTATTTTGACTTTCAATTATTTTGTGAAATCTAGTTTAAAGTGGAATAGGATAGTGCTATTGTACCTTAATCGAAGATTAAAACGCGAAATTATACGAATCTCGAACTAAAATACCCGTATTGGCCTGTTCTAAGGAATCCCGAGTCAATCCAAACACGCCGCCTCAAATTGCCTATCCTCTTTGTGGCGGCCATATTTACAGAAACAATTAAACTTCATGTTTAGGCTGATGGGTTTGCCAAAGCCTTAATAAATTTAGAAAAAAAATTTAAAACAGGAGAAATATCTGGAAAAATATATTTTTTTAAATGCTACTAAAATACACTGCTGCAAATTCATGACTCATTCAGTAGATACTAAAATAATCGTCATTTCTTAAATTCTGTTCACTACACCAAACAAAACCTGAATAATTTTCGTTAAACATTCTTTGCAATATTTTTTTTATTTATTTTGCATGTAATTTCCGATAACATTAAATATGGAGCAACTCTAATTTTGACAATTTTATCGTAATCAGCTGTCTGTCATTTTGCAACTGCGAGTGTCGGGAGATATTTTTATCTAATAGATATTTGTTTATCGAGTACATTTAAAGCAATGAATCTGAACGGTTCAATTCAGTCATGACCTGACTCGCAATATTAGTTGAAATACCCCGGTACTGCTAATTTACATTTTCTTCTTAGATTTTTCGTTGTATACGTGTCTTAATAATAATTACTAACCGATAACTCATTTTATAATGCTAAACAGAGCGAAGAATACAAGTTCTAAAATGGGTCGGACTTCAGAGTGTGATATCGATTTGAACTTGGGTGCGTACAAGTTAATAACAAACGAGTCAAAACCGCCGGACATTCGCTTCAACAAGGAGAACAAATGGGTCGCGGGTGTGCAGATGTTCGTCTCGTTCCTGCTCGCAGGCTTCGGCATGGTAGCTGCTAGCCTGCTGTTGGACGTCGTGCAGCACTGGCAAGTTTTCATCCAAATATCGGAGGTGTACATTCTAGTGCCAGCTCTTCTGGGGTTGAAGGGTAACCTCGAAATGACTCTAGCTTCTAGGCTATCAACCCATGCTCATCTGGGTCACTTGGACACCAACATGGCATCGCTTGCAATGGGCAACCTATGCCTCATACAATGCCAGGCTGTTGTGGTAGCGTTCCTGGCAGCCTTGGCTGCAGTGGCCATGGGCTGGATACCAGAGGGGGATTTCAACATTCATCACGCGTTGCTCCTGGGTGCATCCAGTGTACTCACAGCATCTGTAGCCAGTTTTGTCCTTGGTCTAATAATGATCGCAGTAATTGTAGTATCTAAGAAGTTAAATATAAATCCAGACAATGTTGCCACACCAATAGCGGCTAGCCTGGGCGATATAACAACCTTGGCACTATTGTCTTGGATAGCAGACCTGTTGTATAAATCAATTGGCAGCAGTCTCATACTGCCAAGTATTATTATAATTGTTGGCGCGGTAACCGTTCCTGTATGTGGGTATTTAGCGTGGAAAAATAATTTCACAAGACAAGCTCTAGATGAGGGATGGGTACCAGTTGTCTCTGCCATGGTTATTAGTAGTGCTGGTGGTTTAATTTTGGACTACACAGTTTCAAATTACAAGGGTATTGCAGTGTTCCAATTGGTTATCAATGGAATTGGAGGTAACATGGCAGCAGTGCATGCATCTAGACTATCAACTGCATTACACACAGGTGAAAAGAAACATTCAATATTAGGTAGCACTACAAGACTGCTACTCATGATGGTGATACCTGGCCAGTTGATATTCATTTACACTATTGGTTACTTGAAGGCTGGACACACCTCGGTGACACCTATATTTATTCTTATTTATATGTCTGCTGCCTTGTTACAAGTATTCTTATTGTTAACTATTAGTCATTATATGGTCCTGTTTATGTGGAAGCTAGGTATGGATCCAGATAACTCCGCCATACCATACTTGACTGCCTTGGGTGACCTTTTGGGTACTGCATTGCTAGGTGCAGCATTTCATATTTTGTATGCGATAGGAGATAAAGACAGTGATTTAGGTGACTGAAAATATATCCAATACACTTAATACTCTAGTGAGAATAAATGTTGGGCACATAGCATTTGGTACTTAGTCATGTGCCATTTATTTACTTGTGAATATAGATGTACATAATGTTGTACTTAAAACATGTACTTCCTTGGCTAAATTGAAGCTATTGATTTGTATCATATAATATATATATAAGTAATTTATTGTAAATCACAAAAGTACTGATTTGTATTTGTAATCTCTATGGTAGATTTATATTATATCATACTTTTAAAGTACATACATGGACTATGTCATATCATTCAAAGTAGTTACTAAGCATGTACAGTTAACTGTTAGTAATTGACTATAATAAGCTTTTAGTACATAAAAATAAAATTGCAAATGTGCTATTAATTAAATTCAAACGAATTAAAGCCTCCTTTTGTTAGAGTATTATCATTAATTACATACAATTTAAGAGGGAGCAGAGGAAAAATTAATCTACTAATCTTAGATTTGATTATAGGAATGAAACTATTTTTCCGGATTTAAATCGCGTATATTTGTTTTTTCAAACAAACCGACGTTTCGGGCCCTGTACGCGATTTAAATCCGGAAAAATAGTTTCATTCCTATGTATAACAATCGCGAAAACCTAAGAATTCGATTTGATTTTCGAGGGGTATATCCACTTTAAAGTTAAAAATAAAATATTGTATGAGTAACTACACAATATTAATCAGAAACATAAAACAATAAAGTTTCCTCGATAGATAAAAATCACGAAATGACCATTTTCACATTTTTTCAATTTATCCTCGAAATGCTACAGGTTATTAGGACAAAAATTAGATAATTAATTATATTTATGCACGATCGACAACTGTCACTATGGATTTTTTTTAATCCCTTTAGTTTTAGTTATTCCGCTAAAACGAATTTGGTACTTTTAATGCGCAAAATTCAACATCTCCTGTCGCATGTTACGCGAACTTCAGGCATATATTTGTTTCACAAATTTGGGCAGAGTCAACGTCAAAACTTTTTTGGCATAAGAGCTCTTAATTAAGTACTTGTTGCTGTCTTTAAATGTTTGTGTTGGTGCTATCAAAACTTAATTTTAAAAATATATTTTTGTACTAGAATCTGTTACATCGTCTACAATAAATATTGACAATATTTTGACCGTTTCATTTCCTGTTCAAATTAAAAATTTAATACATAAGTGTATATCACTGAATGTGTACCTTAAATATATATTTACTATGAGTACAAGATAAAGTGTGTAAAATTCACTAGCGTAAAGTATACATTCTATAATAATCTATAATATACTTTTAAAAATAGCTACAGCATGAGACCAAAATTTTACTTTGGAAGTTTACAATGTAAAGTCACATTAGTATGTGGTGATTAGATTCTGATTGAATACCCGAATAGATTCCAGGTTCATTAATAAAGTATACCCATAAATAAATATGGCATAGTTACTGTGGTGAAATTAATTAAAACTCAGTGATTTAACACATTGCAAGTGAACACCTCCATTTTATTTTCCTTTTGAACCTCAGTTGAGTAAAACAAATCAGTAAATTGATTGGTGATAAGAAAAACAAAAATAATTTTGTTACTTTTGTGTTTATTGGATTAACCTAGAGTCAGATGTTTACTTGACTTCGCGCAATCTCCTCACAGCTGACCGGCAGGAAGAGGCAGCTGTGGTGGAGAACACCCATGCGCCACCAGCGACTGTCCTCTTGCAACGCTTGCATGACCAGATACCGACACACGAACGCTTCATTGCATCCTGTAATTTACAAACATTACAATGTATACACTGTTTAAAAAAATATATTTTAATAGAGTTGCTCAAAACGTGATATTTTTTGTACTACAAATCGTGCTGTAAGTTGGATTTGTCGCACTAGTGCTTTTTACTTTTCAATTTTTTTTTTAAATTTGCTGTTGTTTCAAGTCTTAAACATAGAACTAAAGAGGTTGTATATTTATTAAATACTTATGTGCTTTGCGACTTAAATCATTCATCATTAAAACTTATATTTACTTACAAACATCTTATTTATTTAAATTGCATAGGTGGTTTATAAAACAACAGGTTACATTTAAAAATATCAAAATATTTTCCATATAGATGGCTGACTGAGTATTAACAATGACCAGAGGTGAGTATTATGCGAGAGAGCTGCGCGCCGCACCACTAAAGTAGTAATTTTAATGTGGCTGAATACTCGAAACAGTTGCCATTATACTCAGAATCTTTATCAGACAAATAAATGAGTTTTTTTTAAATACTGTTTTATTTTACTTTCAACTACATTAGTTTTTACACAAATGTGTTATAAAACTTTGTTTGATAAACATGCAGATTTGTCATTTTCTTGACCCTCGCCTCAGGGGGTCTATTCTCGATCTCCGTCCGAAACAATTACTGTCAAATAAGTAATATTCGACAAAATTAAAAGACAAGTATCAAGAATGAAGCTTCATTTGCATCACGCGTCTTTTCATTCGGTCAAGTATTACCTATTTGACAGTAATTGTTTCAGACGGAGATCGAGAGTAGACCCCCTGGCTCGGACCAAGAAGCCTCAAGACTCGTGAATAATGACTAACTTTCCGCACTTGTATTAAAAATAACTATTCCTTTTACATGGTAAGTACAAATTGATAATCGCCTTCTCCCAGTGCCTACCAAGCTTTTGAAATCAAATAAATTTATGATCTGTAACATTGACGTGGTTATGTATGAAAAATGTAAGATCATCTGTTGAGGCATGAATTGAACTGTCTACAGATGTGGATAAAATTGTTCATATATTTCAGAAATCACAAATGTAAAAGAATTTCGAATAAAATAATATGTTCTCAAAAACCTTTCAAAAATTGGCGCCGAGGTTGGTGTAGATGTTTTGACAAAAACTAACCTTGCCACAGAAGGAGCAGGTGTATTTGGCGTGCTGGGTAACCTCCATTTTCTTCACCATCTTACGGAGGGAGGCACCGTAACGTGTGCCATATTTGCCAGTGATTCCAACCTTTTTAGTGCGCTTGGCCTGAAAACATCACAATATTTGGAACTTTTTCATACCGACAAGCCATCGTCGTAAATATTCTATGGATAAAGAAACAGCACAAATATGCTACGAGTGTGGTAGGACACTTCACAAGCACATGTTTGACATCTTTTCACCAAGATTAGCACTGATGATTGTTATAATATTTTAAAATTTAATTCTCACCATTTTATGATAACCTGTCTACAACAACTGTTGACAGAAGAAGAAACTGACAGTGTGACCGTGCTTAAACTAATCGCAAAATGCGCAAGTTAAATGAAAAAAGAAACAAAATCATACGGAATCATCGCACGCTATTTCTGTCTTTAATTTAAGTTGACAAAAATCAAGCAAAATAATTGCATTACAATATTTTTTATAAGAGTTTTCGCTTGGATATAAGTCTTTGGATCCGCGTTAAATATTTTCCATTGTGATTTCACTTTCATAAATAACTTAGTTCTCCTGTTTGGGTTTTCTAAATAGTCGCGGAAGCGGTGGGAGTCAATATTTATGTTTTCACTTTCACATAAATCACATTATTGTCACTTTATCAAATACCTACTTTGAATTCGTAATTATTCGAATTTCCAGGATAAACTATTTTGTAATTTGGTTTAAAATAAGGAAATAGTTCTAAGTTTCTTCATCACTCCTATTTTTCCAATAGACTAAAAGAAATTAATCTTTGTAGACATGAGGCAAATCAGGACTTACGTATTTAAAGTAAAGTTTAAAGTTAAAGCGCTAGAAATCATACTTAAGTCCTTGCCATTAGGATCGTATTTCCAGTGTTTGAAATCATACTCAACTGACTCACGTCCTTACTTGAGCATTGAGTAAAGTTCTGTAATACGACCTTAAGATTTTAAACCTATTCTATTATATTTCCTTAATGGCGGCCACTAGGCTTGGGCCATTTTTTTCTTATTTCTTGGGCCATTTTAAGCCTTTTAGGGTCGTATTCCAGAACTCTACTCAATGCTCAAGTCAGGACTTGCACTGAGTAGAGTTCATATCCGACCTTAGACTATTCCTTATTCTTTTATTTTTTCCATCCTCTAATGATACGTCCCTTAAACTCTAGCTTTCTTAATCTCTTTCTTAGACGAAAAAGCAACTGTCAATGTCACTAATGAAACTGTCAGTGTCACTTCAACGACCTACAAATCTGAAAAGGTCGAGCTAGGTTTTCCAAAAAAAAGCCCGTCCTGATCATCTGGACGGATTAGTATTAGATAAATAAAATACCACAAAATGTTGCGAACGCTCGTTTCACGAAATCAGGCCATAAACAGTGGCCTAAAGAAAGCTGTACGGTCCAATGTCACAAGATGTATAAGTACAGAATTAGTGCGAAGGAAACATTCTAACAAGTAAGTTACCGTTTGATTTCTCAGTAATTAAGCTATATTTACTCACTTAGGCACAAATATGCTATTCTAAGTTAGTAAGTTGTGATTAAGTACAGTTTTGGTAGCGGAAACGTGCGGCAAGAATTGCATAACCAACCGCCAATCTCCTCGCTTTTCAAATCGTCAGCATGAGATTGACGCGCCGACTGCGGACGTAGGTTTGTTGAATTAAACCCAATGATTTTCCTTTTCGTCCTACACAACGACAATATTGCTAATAATAAGTAGTGTGTTAAATATGTTTATTGAAATGCCATTTTTTTATTTTAACGTACAAATTTAATATTTACTTCGAATATTACACGTTTTTACGTGTACATCTATGCATGTATTTAATAGATTTAAGTTTTTAAGACTTCTTAAAGTATCTGTATTGTGTTGATCTTTTATAAATCCCACTGCTTCATTATCTTTTAGGTTACAATTGTTTTATTAATTTACTACAAGACTAACATAAATAAACCCTGAAAAACTTGTTGTGTCAAAGAATTTGATTACCTTACATTGTTATGGTAATAATAATTTATTCACAGTAAGTGTGGTGTACATAGTTGGATTAACATGTATTTCTATTAACAGGTTCTCACACTTAGCTAGTAATAGCATGCAAATTTACCACAAACTTATCCTAATTATTAAAATATTTTATTCAATTATATACATTTAAAATAACAAGTTGCAATATGTAATGTCAAGTTTAAATAAATAGCTAATTATTTTCTGTAGTCAAAATATTCTTGAATTGAATAAAACAACTGTTAGACAACTATTTAGTTAAATAACCTGAGTTGTAATCTGGTTCTTATTAAATTTAATTATTAAAAAAATTCTAGAACATAATAGTAGTTCTGTTTAACTTTTAAGTTAATTAAATTTACAATGCAATAAATAATTAATAATGATTGATGAACAATTACTAAATTTTTACAGCATATTACATTGTACAATGTTGTGATTAACATGGCTATATAACCTGATAGCTTGTCATTGAATCACATTGACTTATTGTTTACATTCCCACAGTATGACAACTAACAAGAATATGGTTTGTTATCTATCATACATTGGATGCTACTCTACGGCTATCTATATTGCAGTTATTTACGTATGGTAGGTAATCTATCATTCTGTGATAAGAATGTCTCTATAATAGATTTAGTCATTATATTATTAAGCCTTTTTTAGATGAGTTGCAAATTTTACATTTTCAATTTTTACATTATATTATAACCCTTAACTCAGCGTCTCTTGGCATAATTATTATTATTATATCTATTTTATTATTATTATTGTATCTATTTTATTATTATTATTAGAGTGACTTCATTTAAGTCCCATGCCCTGTATCACTGCAACCATCATTTCTGAATGCTTGAGATTCTGTGAAATGGTGGATACTAGGAAATCAGGTGTATAATTATAATGTATTTGTCATTTTAATTTTTTATATGTTATTGTTATTATTTTTATAATTATCTTATTTTACACGGTGCATTAGTTCTTAACTGTGAAACTGTGAAAATTATATATTTATAATAAATAAATCAATCAATCAACTGATCTATAATGACATGTCCGGAGCCAAGGTCAACTGTGTTAAAGAATTGAAGGACTTTCCTGGCTCTGACAATTTGTCTTCTGGTTGTGGCCAATACCTTCCCGGTATGGACCTTCATAAGCCCATCAGGACAGCACGGGGTGAGGAGATGCATAGGAGTTTCATTTGCCTTGTGGTAGAATAAACAATTTCTGTTTTTGTCTCTGCCCAATATTTGACATGTGTTTGTTAGTTAGCATTCTGATGCTATTCCTGTCCAGTAACAGTGCTTCTCTACAGTGTTTGGCACTGTAAGCAGCTATCAGGGCATAAGCCTCCTTCAGATCGGAAAGATCTGAAGTGAACTAACTCTATGCTACTCTTCTCCAATAGGGACCTGTAGTCAACTTCAGCACATCTTCCTATCTTTGATGCTGACAGCCTCTATTGCATTTTCCATTACAAGGGTATCAATTTGTAACTACTTTGCAAATTTTTTCCAGAACATCTGGGCGTCTGTGAAGTATATCTCCAATTTGCTTAATCTACTTTTGAAAGCAGGCTTATCGTTTGTGATCTGTTATTAGTGGACGTTAATTTTGAGCTCAACAATTTATATTTCGAATTCGTAGTTTCATCGTGATCTTTAATAGATTTAGTAGTTTTGTAATAAATAAAATTACGAAAAAATTGTAGTTCTTATCAAATCCGATTTAATATTCGAAATAGTCTGTTTGCTGCTAATGATATGGGCAAATACAAATTTGTTTTTACTTACGAGCCTGAGATTGGCCAACCTTGCTAAACAAATATTTTAACAATCTTATTTTGTGCTGACAGTCGTTTAAACAAACATGGAGAAGGTTAAATATTTGAAAGAAAGAAAGAAAGAAAACTATTGTGATTTAAACTAATAATATGTGAATACTGCTTGCAAAAATTACGTATAAGTTTATTAATATTGTCTTAGAATATCATCACCATCATCGCAGAAAATTCTCAGCACTCCACAATGGGGTATGCAAATCCGCCACTACGCAGATCTACCAACGCACATCAAAGTGAACCTGCCCGCTCTCTCGCCAACTATGGAGAGTGGATCTATCGTCAGTTGGGAGAAGAAGGAGGGTGACAAGCTTAGTGAAGGTAAACCCAAAATGGAGTAACATTTCTAACCTCTATGTTCATGTCGATATCTTCCATGTAAGTTTTTTTATCTATTGTGAAAAGGTCTGAAACGTTCAGGCGCTTATTTGCCTGGTACAGTGTGTATATAACTACCCATACTGCTTTATCTGTCACTACTTAATATCCATGAGGTATTGCGCCGTATCAGAAAGCAAGACCTCACATAGGAGTATAGAACTACAGTACACTGTATCAACGTTTCTCAGTTCTCAAGGTTGCTCAGTCTTAAATTTAGTTTTCCTACCTGACCAATGGCTTTTAATTGATATTGGGCTGGGCAAACCGTATATTGGTCACATTTCGTCAAATGAAGCATGTCTTCCAACTTGTTACAGAATTCACCCTGAGGGGATTCAGTCCTTCTCATTACAGAGTAAAGTTTACTTAAACGTAAATAAATCACTTAGTGTTACGTTTACTTTCAAACATGGAACCTATAATATACAAAAAAAGGAGAATGAAAAAGCCAAAAGTCGTATTTTGACTTACAACAACTTAAGTCACAGGAATCGGAAAATTTTTCAGGGGCGTGTTTGACGCTTTTGGCTTTTCTACAAAGTGCCGACTATGTATGTACGTGTATGTGGTTCCATGTTATTAAGTACAAACTTACTTTTTAATATTGCAAATTTGAATTCTGTGTAAGGTTAAATTTTCAGCAGGGAACATTGAATATTAGTTTATCTGGCTATGTTCGGTTGTAAGTATGTATGTCAGGATTATGATATGTCAATTTTATCTTAGTGACGTGTTTTAGCACCATTTGCGGTAAAATGAAAACTACAGTAAACCCAAAGCAATCAACTCTGATAAATTAATAAAAATATATTTCATCATAATCATTACGTCTTTTAAGTAACTGATTATTATCATGTCAATTTATTACAGGTGACCTTCTCTGCGAAATCGAAACAGATAAGGCCACAATGGGCTTCGAAACTCCTGAAGAGGGCTATCTTGCCAAGGTCCTAATTCCCGCTGGTACCAAAGGTGTTGCAGTGGGAAAATTATTGTGCATCATAGTGGAAAATCAAGCCGATGTTGCTTCCTTTAAAGATTTTAAGGATGATTGTAAGTACACAGAAATCACGGTAAGGGTTTTATGAATTGTAATGGTTGATAAATTCAATTTTTGTATCCTCCAATTGCAATTTAAAGAACCAGCTTCTTCTCTTGAGGAACTGAAATTTAATGTCAAAAACACCTTCATAGGTAGCACTGGTATTTTTCATGCACTGGTATTTGCGTCATGCGATCCAGAAGTAACTATGTTGGTCTTTATTTTTTCGCACTGTTCTGGAAATATCGGCGCGGAATCAGTTTAAGTATTTTCTGACGTAAATCTACATTTACATCTATTATTATAGATATAAAACTTCTTAAGTCTAGCTTAACCTTATCCCGCGTCCACCAGTTCCATATAACCCTAAGACATTATTGTGTTGTGATTTGCACGAAGAGTGGAAATAATGGGAAGCATGATTTGTTTACATTATTGTTGTGAAGAACGATTTCATGGGACATTTCACTACAATCATGTCATGGTGATATCTATATTAACCTCAAGATGGGGTTTTATTTCAAACTAATAATAAAGCTGAATACTTTCGAAGTGTCAAGAAAAAAAACACGCATAGTTTGACTTTGTTTATACAAATGTCTTTTTCATTGGTATCCTTTATTTCGATTCCCTGGGGTAACTACTTTATTTATCTTAACTCCCCTCAGAGCTTTAACTAAGCTTTAATTGATACATAATTTTTGGATGTCTTTTCTACATCATAAATATAAGTGATGGCGGTTAAAAGAAAACAATCTAAAGTAAACTAAACTAAATTTAAGATTAGTGCATTTGTTTCTTTTGTTGTCAATAGGCACCAATGGGAGATTTTATTCCATTTTATAGCACTTAAATTGGTCGATGCCTGTAGACGACTCCGTGGACTTAGATGGTGTCACGCCCCACCTCCATGGATGACCAGTCACAAAGAGAGTCAGAAATTTTAAATGCCTGACTTTCTTTTGGACAAAAGATGATAAGAGTAATTTTGCCCAAAGCTTGGACTCCAAACTGCTGACCTGAGAAGACAAGTTCTTTTTAAAGTATTGTACAGACAGAATTTTGACCGGAGAATAAAGTTACAGTTAGGTTACAAAGTTGCACGGAGTTTTAGGGTCGTATTCCAGAACTCTACTCAATGCTCAAGTCAGGACTTGAGTATGATTTAAAGCACTAGAAATCATACTCAAGTACTTGCCATTAGGGTCGTATTTCAAGTGCTTGAAATCATACTCAAGTCTTGACTTGAGCATTGAGTAGAGTTTTGGAATACGGTCGTGAATGTTAAAAATAAAAGGATTTCGTGGTTTTCTTATTTTAATTAAAATTGTTATGGTTTACGACAATATTGAAATTATAGAACGGATACTGAAGGTTTTGCTATGTTACTTATTAGATTGTCCATAGACACAACATCGCCGCGGTCGATCCAATTGTTATAGTGTTTAGGTGCCCCAGGCGATCGAAATAGGGGTTTCTGGTGAATAGAACTCCAAATAGGATTTCAATGAAGCAAAATGTCCAAAATGGCAAAATGTCAAAAAATTAAAGACAAAATTTCTAAATTTGCGATACAATGAGCACGAAAAGGCCGACGCATGCAAATTGAAAAAAATAATTGGGAGCATATAAATATTTTTATGATGGAGTCAGGTGGGATAAGAGAAACATACGTACTTTTTTTAAGTCCAATGTTTTGAGCTCTACGAAGAACAGACAGTCTTGTTAAAATTTTGAAGTACACTAAACTTGCATTTTTCAATCATTACGCTAAATTCTATATTGCCAAAAACGTGCAAATTGTGCTAAAGTTCAAGTATCGTGTTCGTTTACGATTTCACAACTGTCAAATTTGTTTTTCCAGCCTTTCGGGTTTGGATCACCGTAGCGACATCTATTTAAAATCGTAACTATTTATTCTGTTTTCTCGACAGAGAGACTAAAGTGCTAAATTGTTTAGATTATTAGTTAAGGGTTCAAGTCCCTCTTCCCTCGGTGTTCCTCTTACCCCACCTGACCCTCCTCCATTTCATTTTCAGAGTTTATTACTCTTTAAAATATTACAACCCCTTTGCACATTTACCTGTGGGTTATCTATTAACTCATGTGCATGTTTTACTAATGTTTTATGTTAACTGGCAGCACCTGCGCCGGCGCCCGCACCGAGGAAGAAGGAGAAAGAAGGTGTTTACTTTGGTTTTTAATAGTAATAATGCTTTATTTGCACCTATTTGTTTGAAAAAAAGTCCTCGTTAAGTTAGTCATTGAGAAATCTAATATTGGTCTTCATAGAAACATGTCACAGTGTCTCTGTTTCGTTTATTTAATCTATTCATATTTAAGATTTTACCTTTCAACGATTGCATTATTTCTTTATACTAAAGTATCGAAGGGTTCGAAGCGATAATTATCGTTAATGATATTCATTACAATAATTATCTTGATAAATGTACCTTGATAAATATCTTAGTATTTATGAAATTAATTGGAACAACAAAATGCTTGTGTTAGCGGAAATGGGCAGTGGGTTAAATTCCAAACAACCCGCCCGGATTTTCACCCAAAAGCGTCGAGTTTTAATCCATTTCTGCCCAACATCGAGAGAAATGGCGAATGCGGAATTTGGTTATAATTCCATACTTAGTACAAATTTCAGTGTAAAAAATCTTTTTTTAAACGAAAATAGACAACTTCACGCAATACCCACCTTGCGATCCTGTGGATTCTAGTTACTAAGGATGCACGTTACGATTCGATTTTTACGAAAATCGATGCAAGTGCATTAGTTTTCAAGCGAACTAATTCAATGGAAAGGCAAATTGAATCGTCCAGATAAGAAAGCAATAAAAATGTTTAGTTGTAAATAGTTTTTCCCTCGGCTATGGGCGTTAATGGGTTTTAACAAATTTAAAACCGGTATTGTTTAGTTAAAAATAGTTTTTGCCCTCGGCTATGGGGTTTTAATTCGATTTAAACCTGGTTAAAACCCGAACGCTTGCCCATCTCTGACTGCCAGTAATGTCGTACTATGTGTTTGTATCCGAGACTTATTCAAACGTCAAATTTCAATCAATCTCAAGACAAGTTATCAACTAATTTTCTTTTTCAAAGATTTTTCTTCGTGTTTGATTGCTTTTCTACTATTTGTCATTGTTACTTAAAAATTAAAGAGATAAAACTAAGGGATGTGTATCGAATATTTATCATATCAATTACAATTATCAAAAAAATAAAATCTTGATAATTTTGATCCCGCCTTTATCGAATAATTATCAAATAATAATCATGATAATTATCAAAGAAAATAAATGTTTTGATAATTACGAACCCGCCTTTAATCTAATGAAATATAATTGCAGAACTAAATTTTCTTTGGCATTGATTAGAGATTTTAGATGTTTGGAAGTCAGTAGTAGTCAACACGTGTGTTGTGTGAAACAGCCGCCCCCGCCGCCGCGGCGCCACCCGCGGCCGCTGCCCCGACTCCGGCCGCCGTCGCTTCCGCACCCGCCCCTGCCCCCGCCGCAGCGCAGTCTGGAGGAGGTAGGGTGTACGCCAGCCCCTTTGCGCGACGCATCGCAGAACTGAGGAGTGTCAGACTCGGAGGCGAGCACATTTTTTCATCCCATTTCGGCTATACATGCATCTAGTGAAAAAACGTAGCTGAATTTATGCGAAATTTCCAGTAGGTCATACATCGAGTTTTCTTGTAATGTAGCTGTCTCTATCTAGTAAAGCGTCTAGAAATATAACGCGATTGCGCTGTTCTATTCTTGACGAGTGCACGGTATTGCTAGTTGTCTCTTTTTAACATCGTGTTACAGTGATTAGCAAGAGAACTCGAGTGACCTTCACTGCGTTGTACTGTGTGCTTGCTTTTGACACGTTGCATTTGTTTTCGTAAAACAACGTGCTTTGTTATTGAATTTTCAGTGTCTTCTGGTTTCACAGATGAGCGATATTTTCTTGTTTCTAAAGTAAAATCACTTTTCTATTACACTTTTTATCTTGACCTGTTGGTGGTATGAAATGTTTAGAAATAAATTCTTTTTTATTTGCTTTGAAGCATTCTTTATTGCTGCTATTGATTGTATTTGTTATGTTTATTTAATTGAGAAAACATTTCACGCCATATACAGGACAAGGTTCAGGATTATATGGTTCATTGAAGAGCGGCGATCTCTCAGGCATGGCGTCGGCACCTGGCAGGGCGGCGGCTCCTCCAGCCCCACAACCCGGGGCAACCTACGTGGATCTCCCCCTCTCGAGTATGCGGGAAACAATCGCCAAGCGTCTCTCCGCTGCTAAGCAATCCATTCCTCATTATCAGCTCTGCACGACAGTTAATGTGGAGAAGACGTTACGAATGAGAGCAAAGGTCAATGAAATGATCGCAAAGACAGGACAGAAGGTGAGACATTTTTATATGTTATGAAAATAAAACAAGTTTTTTCAAATAATTGTAACATTTAGGAATGAAACTATTTTTCCGGATTTAAATCGCGTATATTTGTTTTTTCAAACAAACCGACGTTTCGGGCCCTTTACAGGTCCCATGGTCACGGGTCAGTCAACCGCGATTATACGAGAAATACGCGATTTAAATCCGGAAAAATAGTTTCATTCCTATGTGTAACAATCGCGAAAACCTAAGAACTCGAATTGTAACATTTTTATAAAAAAACCGACTTCAAAAGTTCGAGAAATTACACCTATTTGTCAAGTTTCATTGAAATCGGTTACCGGAAAGTGCGAGAAACCGGATTCATCCCCTAAGTTTGAAAGAAGCTATACTGTTACGAGCGTCTCTTGCCAGTATTTAAAAATATTGTATAGAGGGCGCTTTTCTAACTTGCGCTTGACTAAAGCATTTCGAGTATTTCAAATTGTGACATAATGCACCTAATGGAGCATCACCTTAAAGTATTTAAAATTATACAATAGAAGGCGCTGTAACAATTACAGCGTCGTTCTCAAATGAAGAGTGTGGCAAGATATGTATAATAAGTTTATTTGCAGATATCGGTGAACGACTTTATAATAAAGGCCGTTGCCGCGGCATGTAAGCGAGTGCCCACGGCCAACTCTCACTGGATGGAAACTTATATTAGACAGTAAGTATCCCATTAATATTACATTTCAATGAAAACGCACACACTCAACCAACATTACTGCCTCCGTAGCCGAATGGTTACCACGCTGGACTGACACGCGGAAACCCGGGTTCGATTCCCGGGCTGGGAGAAATATGTGTATGGCCTACGTTTATTTCTTTCGCCATGGTAATCGTTCGGACACGGAGGCAGTTGAAATAAATAAATAAATTAAAATAAAAAAATTCAAAAGGGAAAAGGTGAATTTTAGGTACAAAAACATTCCAATATTCAATCAAAAACTTGTTTTTCAGATTTTCGAATGTGGACGTAAGCGTAGCGGTGGCAACCCCAGCGGGTCTGATTACACCGATCGTGTTCGGTGCAGACTCGCGCGGCATTCTTGACATCAACAAGACGGTCAAGGAGCTGGCGCAGAAGGCCAAGGACAACAAGCTTCAGCCGCAGGAGTACCAGGGCGGCACTGTCACCGTTTCCAATTTGGGCATGTATGGTAAGTAATAGCATTTGGGCAAATCGATACCTCCAAAGAACACTAAGCCATCTACATTTAAATGAGTGAATGAATGTTCTTTATTGCACATTAAAATTACAATGACAACACAGAACAGTAATGTAAGTATCACAGAGTAAGCCAATGTACAACAGGCGATCTTATTGTTAAGTAGCAACGTCTTCCAGGCAACCTTAAAATAGAAATGTATGAGTTGGAAAGGGTTTTATGTTTTGGTCATTTTCTGTTATTTTTATAAACAGCTATATTTATTTCTTAAGTTCTTCGTATTTCGCGAAAAAAAAGAAATAAAACTAAATTAGGAAAAAACCTAATTTTTTGTTAAAAAAGAAAGAAACAAAAAACAAAGTAAAAACTGAACAAGTGCAAAAATTTATCGGCCCAGTGTTCAATGGAGGTATCGAAATAGTGGCACTAGACCCTCTTGTGAAAGAGCAGGGAAAAAGAATTACCTGTTTCTGCCGCTAAGTAATGTGAGCATTACTTTGGTTTATAGTCGATAGATTTCGTTTGACTTGGGTTGATAGTCGGCTTCAATCTCGCTGCATTTCCGCGTCCCGGGAAAAATATCGATACTGAATGCGGTCTCGAAAACCCCGTAGAAAGTAATAATAAAAAAGAAATAATTTATTTGGCATCCAAGGCCCACTTCTTAGTAAATACCATAGAGTATATAACCAGAAATAGAGACGAAATGTTATTTAATTTGTTTGAAAACTATTCTGCCATATCATTATGGTGACAACTGCGCCCCGATTGGCCAGCCCGAATTCGAAACAATTGACGGGTGTCGTCAATTGTTTCACTTCAAATCGACCAGTTTAACTTCAGCATTGCTATAATAGACGAAAATTTAAAAATTACATATTTAATATTTAATTACGTATGAAATGTGATTCCGTTTGTTTTGTAATTATATGTTTTGCTGCTTTTCCCACGTCACCGAATGGAACAGCCCATAGTTAGAGATATTGTCTTTATTACAATAAATACATAACATTTTTGGAATATACGGTGACGTACACAGAGGTCGGTTATTGACGCTGTACTATTTCAGCTTTATAATTTGTGATTTCAGTGCAAACGAGAGTTGATATTTAAAAGTGACATTTGCCTGATGAGTTGCCAGGGGTGGATGGCCCTTATTTCGGCTCTATTTCTAGTTATATACTCGATGGTAAATACAGACAAACCACAAAAAACACACATTATTACGCTTGAGGCGCCGACTGCCCGGCTACCTCAACAATACCTGTAAGGCTAGCACGACAGGGCGCGACTTGCGCGAGAGCGACATACAGCGCGAGATCGCGCTCTGTCGTGCTAGCCCTACTGGATGATATGACGAAGTATCGTCGTATCGAGCTTACCCGCAAACGTTTTCACGATGCTGTTAGGACTAGTATGCAGTATAGAAAGTACTGTAGTCGAAACTTTCGAGACTACTTCCAAAATAGGTTTTCGTACTTACAGGCTAGGTATTTCGTCGCCTTATTTCTCAAACTCGTATCTTAAAGCACAAAGTTACTGAAATAATCACACACTGGATTTCACCTATTCTTAAAGTAATGCATCTAAATTAACACCCTTGATAAGAAATTTAAAATAAATATAAAGTGTTGCGATCTCCTGAATCACTCTTTATAAGGTACTAGTTTGAGAGGCATTAACTACTAAGTAAAAATTTTTTTCGCGGTTTAGTTAATGGATTTATATCAACTGTTTTTATATATTTTTTAATATTTGGAGGTTTCAATTCATTCAGTTCATGTATGTAAAATGTAAAGGAGACGACAAGCTACAATTTGACATTAAAATCTCAATTTTCGTGTTTTGTTAACACGTTACTGCTTAGCAGCATCCATTTGTAGCATAATGTTTTAAAATTACTCAATAAAATGTGATTGCGCTCTTACAGGTATCACGATGTTCAATGCGATCATAAATCCGCCGCAGTCGCTTATTCTCGCCTGCGGAGGCCTACAGGAGATCATTGTTCCAGATAAGAACGAGGCACAGGGGTAAGTGGCATTGGGCAATCGGAAAAATAATCAGAATAAATCTAAAATGTGCGTAAAAAAACTATGATTCATTCACTATTTCTGTAAAATATTAAATTTTGTTAAATTACGGTACTAGATTTTGTTATAATTATTAATACAATGATCGATTAAAAAATATATATTATTTCATGGTATCAAAATATCGTGATAGTCAATAAACTTCATATTACAATTGTTAAAGCGACGTCTCTAGTCACCCGATGTTAAGCTGTAAAGGCACCTGGCTGAGTGAAGAAAAACTTATAGATTTCTCACAGATGGCGCTACGGCAAAAAGTCATTAAAAAAAAACAAAAACAAAGATCTGCAACAAGCACATAGAAATATTCGTTGCGTCTGCTGCTTCGTTCCGCAGCTTAGTGGGGAGAGTGTCGGTCTGTTATGCTGAAGACGGTGGTTCGAATCCAGCCGGATCGAATTATTAATAATTATAACAGTTTCAAATCTGTTATGCAAACATACCAAGTGACGTCACAAGTGGGTAAACAGGGATACGTCACCGTATTCTAAATTCGCTTATTATTTAATTTTCTTACGTAAACTACCAAATATTTACACTGTGATAAAAATGTACGATCGCGAAATAAATAATAAATCCTAAGTGATTTTAATAAGGCCCACCATTGACTTACAAATAAATGGACGACGGGTCTAATACAAAAACCACGAAAAAAATGTCCCAAGTCAACCTATTCGAAATTTAAATTGTTATGTCATCGCAGTATCGCGCTGTCAGTAGAACAAATGAAGACTAAAGCGGAGTGTCGCGCTCTGTATACGATTTTAGCGCCTTACAAGTGCGGACACTTTTTAGCGCGGACCCGACGTCCATATAATTGTAAGTCAATGAGGCCCACGCAATAATTTATTTACTCACTCATTTTTAACCTTACCTTTTTTGTAATTATTCTACATTTCTCAAATAAGTTTTTTTTAAATCGCAGATTCCGTGTAGCAAAATTCATAACATTTACGGCGTCAGCGGACCACAGAGTGATCGACGGCGCGGTAGGCGCGCAGTGGATGCAGGCCTTCAAGGAGAACCTCGAGGACCCCGCCAACATCATCCTGTGAACACCTAACATCTTCCCTTGTTAAATGGACACCCTCTATATAGGACCTTATAGGAGATTATTATCTATTAGGGCTATTTATTGTCTCGCGGATCCCGTGAAAGCGGACTCGAGTCCGATTGGGATGTGGGGGTCTACTCTCGATCTCCGTCTGACATACGTCCGAAACAATTACTGCCAAATAAGCAATACTTGACCAAATGAAAAGACGCGTGATGCGAATGAAGCTTCATACTGGATACTTGTCTTTTAATTTTGTCGAATATTACTTATTTGACAGTAATTGTTTCGGACGGAGATCGAGACTAGACCCCCTGATCGAATGTAAATGCCATGTTTTCTATGGACCTAAGGCTCATAAGTGATACTGATAACTTATGCGATTCGCATCTGATTTCAAGTGATTTGATGAAATTATCCGCTCTAAAAATGCTCTATATAAGAGTACATTTTTGATGACTTTTAAAAAGGCATTTTTGGCCGTACCCTCCATTGGGTAATGCCAATGTAAAGGTAAGGCCAAAATACTTTGTACGCAGTGATCTAACTATCTTAACTAGACTTCTCAAAGGAAATGAAACTATTTTTCCGGATTTAATAGACTTACAGACTTCTCAATTAAATATTTATTTATGTGTAAGTGTGTATATAAACTATGTAAATAGTAATAGAAAATGTAATAGGAAACAAAAGTAATTGCCTAGTATCCTATTTGAATCCATACCATTTAAGTTTATACCATTATGCCTCGTTCACCGCGGGCTAACTTGCTTACGATTTTATAAATGTTAGTTCGCTGTGTACGTACGTTTACTTATGATCATTCGTTTATTATTTTTAATTTTGTTTTTATTACCTTGATATTCATTTTAGATTTCTAGTTTATTTTTTACTGTGACGAGGTGTCCACTTGGCAAATTGGGATGTAATTTGAAGCACTGCCATATCCTTCGAATATAGTGGAAGCTTTAGTTTTAAATATCACTTATCGTGAACGCTTCGTCATTATGAAGTTATCGGTAGTGAGTTCCAGAGGGTTTCAAAACAATCAATATTGTGGGCATGTGTTTTCGACTATTTTATTTGCAGGATATGTAAAATTTGTTATGAAATTATTTATTTTAGTTTTAAATATTAAGAAAATACTATATATCATGAAAAATGTCATTCGAAACTTGGTTTCTCAGTCCATTCTTTGTACATTTAGAAACGAATCAAATTTATTTAAAGCACTTATGTTTAAGGTTTAAGTTGCTTAGTTCGACTTTATAACTATACAAAGATTTAAATTTACAACTTGCATACAAGTTGACGTTAGCATTAAGCCTTATTTCAACTCCATGCAAACTACTTGCACAGTACAAACGCGCACTAATTTAAAATGTTTTAAAAAACAATTGAAATCATGTACAAAATAAATTATATATTTCCTTTTTTTTACAGAATATTGAAAAGCGTTAAAAATGCATTTTTGTGCTAGCTGTACAGTCTTCATCTGTATGCCCTTTTCCTGTCACACCAATTTTGGTACGCATGCGTATCTGTAGTGCATACATAGTCCTTTTCCTGGCTTACGGACTTTGCTCCGCATGCGTATATTTGTACAATTGTCTATGGAAATGATTAGTGTTTGCCAGACTCCATTTATGAAAAAAAAAATATTGGTGGTCTTACGTCTCCTTACTTACTTTTGGTTTGAATACAAAAAACAAGTGTAACACTTTCCATCAACCCGGCGCCCATTGGCATAAATGTATGGCAAGGGATCCTTCGGCTTCGACATGCAAGTGCACATTGACGGCGAATATGCCACGATGTACTTAGGGCATCTTCAAATTAGACACACATAGAAGCACGGCAGTGGCGCCACTGTGGCGCTGTAGCCGCGCCACTACTAATTTTCATACATATACAGGTTGATACAATATAAAAACACGTCCATTTTTTTTCCTGTGCATAAGATTCAGTAATAGAACACATTAGTGAAATAAAACAAAAAATGTCCAAATTTTTTGATGTTAATATTTTCCAATAATTTCTAATGCGTGGTTACCTCAAAATAGTAAATAAAATTGAGCGATCGGCGCCGAGTTATCCAGACGCCTAGGCGCCAGCATATGCGCTAACGCATCGCGCGTTAGTTTAGTACTTTTTTGTCTGTCAAATAATAATAATAAACTCGCGCCCTGACTCCGCCCACTGCCCCCACACCGTTGTTGTTGCTATAGCAACGACGTCTGTTAATCATCGGGTATCAATATTGTTCAAAATTTTTCGGAAATCTTTGAGACTTCATAACTTATTCATTTGTTTAATAATTGAAAAAAAAAACCAAAGTTGTATCTTTTATTTCTGTTATACAGTATGTTCCTTTAAAATGGTCATTGGTTTTTTATCATCCGAAGAGTTATTTGAAGCGCCCTTTAGGCATGCCAAAGCAAACCCTCGCGACATCGTGCTCGTGGCAAACCTCTACACAGCACCTCTACCATGAGCTTTCTGTGACAGTTGTCGCTAGCAATCGCGTAAAGTATTTGACACTTTTATATGGCACATTGTACAGCGCCCTTTAGTGGTCCCAAGCAGTAACATTTTACATATAAAGTTTTTCCTCGGCTAGCGACAAATTTGACTATAATCGCATGGTAAAGTTACAGTGTCTCTACCTTGAGATTAAAGCGACAGTTATCGATAGCGACCCCGTAAAATATTTGTATACAAAATATTGTTTTTTCTTATGACCGCTAGGGGCACTGCATAATTTAATTTTACCATTAGGCATGCGGAGCAAATACGCGTGCGGAACAAAACCGTTTGACAGGGAAAAGGCCGTAATTGTAGTTCGGAGAAATGATCTATCCCACTTATTTATCTTTTTTTCCACTATCATTATTTATTTGTTACATTTACAAATTTTTGGTGTCATTGTATGAGTAGCCAGTGTAAGTGATAATTTGTCCAAGTAATTTGTGACGAGCACGTCGTTTTTGTACACACTTCGATTGATGAATAGACGACATTTTGAACGTTAGTTGAATACATTTTATTTATTATTATGAATAGTTTGTTGTTTCATTGTTTACATCCTGCTCAGTACAGCCTTGTTTTTAGTGATGGGTAACTCACCTCGTATTATTAATTTATGATCTTATGATTCGCATTTAGAATGAAGGTGACCTATTAAAAAAAAAAACTCAAAAAGAGTGTACCTTAAAACGACTTGTCTGTCTTTTTTGAAGACTAATAATATGACATTTACAGGGTTGCTAGTTTTCATAAAATTTTAAATAGTCATGTAGTTGTTGTCGACAGTTTCATTTTTTCATTATTATTTTGACTATTGGCCTACTAGTATCGATATATTCATGTACATTTTAACAAGAACAGGCGGGTTTTATTATCTATTATTATATATATATATATATTGAATTAATAACTAAGATATATCTCGTCTGTGTATTTTTAATAGACGTAGTACGAAATGCAGTATATATATATATATATATATATATTATATATATATATATATATGTCAACTTACAAAAATTGTCAATTCAAATGAACCTGTTCCCAGCAGTTGGACGAATAATGCTGCCCTCGGAACGAAAAAGGGCACTACTGTCGTATAAAGTACGCATAGTTGTGCTTTTTTTCGTTAAGAGTGTAAAATGGGTCGATCATAATTCATGAATGAATGAAATAAACTCAATACTCAATATTTTATAACTCTGCTATTTATTGCGTATGCGTAACGTGCATTCAGTCGATAGAACGTATACGGCTAATATAATTATCGGTTATTATAATTGAATATTAATCACTAGCTGCTTGTAAGCGGGCAACACTTTTGCGCAATGAACTGTCATTTTACTCTTCAAAAAAGACAGTCTATAAAAATCATCATTTAAGGTTGTTGGGTGTTCTGTGATGTAACAGTTCAAAAGCGAGCATTACAGCGGTGAGGAAGGAGACCCGAGCATTCGTTGTTCAATGCTTGTAACCTTCGGTAGTCTCTTTCATCAGGAGCATTCGGTTGTAATATAACAATCTGTTCAGATTGTAAGGCTGCGACTGCACCAGTGCCTGCGAGTGTAAAGGCACTCGCAGGCACTCATAGGCACTCGGGAAGTGCCCCCTAGTGAATTCCGTTACTCTGATGGCACTCATGATACAGGGAATTTCCTAGTCTAATCCAGGCAATTGGTGTGGTTGTCTGGCACATTAGTTCGTTAATCTGGAACTGACCATTAAAACTCGAATGGCACTGACTCGCATATAGTGAGTATCTGTCATATAGTGAGGGTCTCTTTCACATTTTTTAAATTCTACTTCCACGTCGCCGTCTGTATGTAAACGAAACATTTAGTGTTGAGTCTGCATCTACATAGACAATACCAAAAAAGTGGCGGATTGGTCCATTAGGGTTAGTCCGATTTTAAGCCGTTTTAGTTCCAAAAATCATTGCATTTTTCCAAACGTGACGTTATTGTTTAGAGGATTTTCTTTTATAGTTAAAACGGCAGAACCTTGATGAGGTCATAACGTCTTGCTTGCTGGTGAAAATGAAATATATAGATAGATACAACACGATTAACTGTCGTTCACGACTTTTTTGACGTTACAACGACAGACTGTCGTCACAATGTGAAGAGCTTAGCTGTACGACGATAAAAATGTGACGACAGATAATCGCAACTTCAAACGATACTGCCGTGCAAACGACAAGACTGCTTGCTGCCGGGCACCGATAAATTGTCGTCACGATCTAGTGGGAACAGCTAGACACGCCAGTCGTTCAACGATAAAATAAACGTACACGACACAGTCACGACAGGTAGTCGTGATATGGGAACAGGCTAGACGTGTCAGTTGCCCAACGATAAATAAAACGTTACGACATAATGGAAACGCGTCCTATTTATTAAAATAAGTCATCATTATACCATAACCCATTGACGCGGCCAAGACTCTTAAATAGAACGGTTTAATAACATACTTAACAACGAGAATTTAAACATTACATTTTAGTACTAAAATATATGCAATCAACAGTCTCGGCACTTTCCCATTGGGAGCCTCTTAGGGCGCTCCTTCACCGCGAACATTCGCTTGTAATGTAGCAGTTCAAAAGCACTCATTACAGCGGTGAGTGAGGAGAACCGAGTACTCTTTGCGCAATACTTGTAACATTCGGTAGTCTCCTTCACCGGGAGCATTCGCCTGTAATGTAACAATCTGTTCAGATTGCAAATTGCAAGGCTGCGACTCCAACAGTTCCTGCGAGTGCAAAGGCACTTGCACGCGCTCTAAGGCACTCAAAGGCACTCGCACGCCCATAGGCACTCAAAATAACTCAAAGGCACTCTAAGGCATTTGCAGGCACTCTAAGGCACTCGCAGCACTCAATGGCTGAGGCACTCAATGTTTGAGAACGTAGTGATTCCTCTGTCAAATCAGGTAAAGAACCTGGGGCTTATTATTGGCACAGGCCTTACGTGGGATCCCCAGGTGTCTGACGTTTGTCGTAGGGTTACAGAGACACTAAGAGGTCTATACAGGTTTAAGAATTTTCTTCCCATTACAACCAAAACTCTCCTTCTCCTTGTTCAAGCTCTAGTGTTGCCTGTGATTGATTATGCTGACGTGTGTTACAGTAACATCTCTCAAGTCTCTTTGAACAGATTAGATCATCTTCTTAACAACTGCATTATGTTTATTTTTGATCTGCGGAAGTATGACCACATCTCTGCTTTTCGTCGTCAACTAAATTGGCTTCCCATCCGTGGACGTCCTTAAGAATTTTAACCACTCTTTTCTCCATCTTGTTTGTCTCCAGTTGCACCTTAAACCTGATTATCTTAAATGTTCATTTCAATTTCAAACCGCTCGGCTGGGGTGTGAATTTCGATCTTCCCGTTGCCTTAAGATCTCTATTCCTTCTCACCGCTTTGATTTTTTGTCTAATTCTTTTACCCTTTATGCAATCCGTCTTTGGAACGCGCTCCCGCTCCATATAAGACAAGCTCAGACCAAATTATCTTTCAAGCGCATATTGCACAAGCATCTGTTTGACAATTGTCAAAATCAAGACTCTATATAATGTTGCTTTGGGTACATATATTATTTATTATTATAATACATATGTGTAAGTTTATTATGTATGTATAATAAGTATGTTTATATTATGTTATTTATATATACCATACAAATTATCGATTAGCTTTCAAGGATATTGTTCTTCTTGTGAAGTGTAGCACCAACCTATTGTGTTTTTTTTCTGTTTGGTCCAATGGTTGACTGGTAGAGAATGCCTTATGGCATAAAGTCCGCCATTTGTACTTCAGTGTGTTGTGCAATAAACTTTAAATAAATAAATGGCACTCAAAGGCATTCAATGGCACTGAAAGGCACTCACGAGAACTCAAACGCACTCGCGGGCACTCAAAAGCACTCGCACGCATTCGGAGGCACTCGCACGCACGCTTTGCTACCTCGCACATCTTTGGTGGAATCTTGGATGTTACATTACAGGCGAGTGCTCGTCGGTGAAGGAGGTAGTTTAATGTAATGCTTAAAAACGGATTTTGAAAATATTCAAAATTTGTTTTACGTTTCGTATTCGTTCTTAAACGTAATAACGTTCCAGGCGAATGTTCGCGGTGGGGGAGCGTCCTTAAATGTCTCGCTGCTCACTAATCTTAGATATAAAAATGAAAATTTGTTTGTATGTTTGTCCCGTATGCTTTACATAATTATGTCCACATTTTAAAACAAAAATCAATAAAAGAGGGTCAGTTGTATAAAGAAATCTGTCTTTAATCGTAATAGAATGGTTCTTTTACAGTTGCATTGAAACGTATATTCATGGTTCAGCTAGTTAAAAAAGAGCTCCCTCATTGTAAGACCTCTTTATTCATTATCATTTGTCATTTTAATTAGGTCATGGTCAAAAATGGTGTGACAGGGCGCGTCTGTTTCGTGTCAACGTATTGTCACGAACATGTGATAAAAATTATAGTTCTCGTGATAGAGGTAATATTAGATCCGCCATATAATTTATTTAGTAATTATATTTAATGCACTAAAGCAAATAACTGCACTATACCTACTTGTGAAAAGTACAAAGGTAAAAAAATTCTGATTATTTTTAATTCAATTTTAAGTGTACATGAACTCTAAATTCACGCCTAAAATAGACTATTCCTTAAACCAGGTGGATGTAAGTATTATCATCGCTGTGTTACATCGGCATATATGTGATATGTATAATGGTGTTAGCTTTCTTTTACGTATTTAAAAAAACGGAACACCATTTGGGAAACAACATCCATGTGGGACTTATGTATTAAAACCGGACATTTTTATTATTTCTAACATTGGTTGTAAATTCTCCAGCATCTATCAAAATGACGGACGCGACATCGTCAGAAGAGTTACTAGTATCCAAGAAACCGGTGAAGGAAGTGCCGGTTTATCAGGACACAGATACCTTCAAGCATAAAACGGGAGACATTTACGACGGTGGCTTCGAGATCAAAAAGAAAGACCGGAGCATTAAGATGAATGGTACGGTATTATTGGTGGATTAGTATTTGTATGGACCAACCCAACTATGGTCTCTTCAAAGTACAAAGGCAACGGTCAACAATACACTACAATAAAAAAGAATTTATTATTTATTTATTTAGGAACCCTCGTGAGAGTCTCGTGTTTCCCTGTAACGTGACCATTATTTTTTTCCCACATAGAGGGACGCCTGTAAATTCCTCATTGTTTTAAAAATAAAACACTTGCTTATGATAGTTACGAAATTATTTTTTTTTTAAAAACTTAATATTTTTAATGATCTAAAATAAAAAAGTTAACCTTGTGTCCTCTGGTGTGGTTATACATATCTATATTTTTCGGATGAGCAAAATCCAATTTAAAAAAATGCCTAGTTTTTGAACTTAAGTTGTTACACAAATTAAATTTAAAGTTTAAGCATACGTTTCGAGTTTCATAATTCTTTAATAAATAAATAGTAAATAATAATAATAATAATAATAAACGTTTATTGCAAAACATGTTGTTACATTTAGGTCTTATAATAGTTGATGAAGTATCAAACATGTACCCTGTAAGGGTGTAGCAATGTCAATTATACATTTTAAAATATTATAATACATTTAGAATACTATTAAATATATTTGAATATTATTACAATTATAATAATTAAATTCAAGCTAATATATTCCGAAAGTTAATAAATCAATTGTAAGAAATGAATATCAAAAGAATGTCAAAAGGAATGTAGAGCCTAAAAATCTAAAGTTTTTATAAAAAATTAATCGTCAAATTATTTTAGTATTGCATAATAGTAATACATTAATAGTAATATTATTCTCATACATTTATTTTTATAATAATAATAATGAGCAAGTTTGCTTAATATGTCAGGTTTAGTCTTTAAATATGTCTGGAAGTCTAGGCATGTTTTTTAAATTTATTGTAACGTGTGTCCTCTATTGATTTTTAAATATTTTGGGGAAAGCGGGACATGAAGGTTAAAAGCGGGGCTGTCCTGCTCTAAGCGGGATGTATGGTCACATTTTGTATGACGGATCATCATACTCTCGCTTTTACAGTTGATCTTAAAAAAAAATACTCTGATTCTTCTTTGGTACTGACGTGTACCTGCGTCACCTCATACAAAAACGTCAGTGTCTATTTATTTATACATTATTATTATAAGCTATTTAAATACTCGGATAAATAAATATTTTGTAATACCTATAGAATTTGGAAGAATTGTGCTACTGCACTGTCTTTATGTAACGTCCACAATTTAGCGTTATTTATTTTCTCGCGGTCCCACCAATTTGTCTCATTTGTGAGTTAGAGAGAGACTTGTTTCTCGTGGTCCTAATGCTTTCTATAGTATTGAAAGTATACTCCTGTACATGTTAGACATACTATCTCCGCGTTTGTTAAGGCGAGCCGGAGAAGAAGCGAGAAAAACTGTTTTGCTAGATGAAATGGAAATTAAACTATTTTTCCGGATTTAAATCGCGTATTTGTTTTTTCAAACAAATATACGACGTTTCGGGCCCTTTACAGGTCCCATTGTCACGGTTGACGGAAAAATAGTTTCATTTCCTATGTGTAACAATCGCGAAAACCTAAGAACTCGATAGGTCAAATGGCTAAACCATTTGACCTTTCGAGTTCTTAGGTATCAAAAAATATACGATACACCTAAGACAATAGTCTAAAGAATGTGCACGTTACACGATAGGATTTCCTTTATCCGATCACATGAAATCCTGAAAACATAAAATATCTAAGTCTAAATAATTTTTTTATATGGAGATATTTCTCTTTACTTACTACAGAGAACCTGCAAAATTTGAGTTATCAACTTAAGCCCTTTTAGTCATTAAATTAACATCTATTCAAAAATTTTCAAATTTTCCAGCGGAAAACTTTTCGGCTTTTGTCGGCTTTTTTATAATACTAAGTGACGTGACGAACAAACCGTGCGCCTGGTGGTAGGCGACACGCCTGTCCATAACAGTTGCAATGCTACATTAAATCACAAAGATCTGAGGAGCACTGCCACTGCGCCCGACACCCTGAGACATAAGTTGACAAGTCCCACTTTCACCAGCACCTTTACAACAGTGGCAGTAGTTCCCTGGACGAATTCTTTTGCAAGGAGCTCCACTGCTACTCTGTGTCGTCAACTGCGTTTTTAAATGTTGTATGAAAATTAGTATAATGGCCACCACACTTCTATAAGCGTCTAATCAATTAGACGCAGTCATGTGTACGTAGCAGTGAGTTTTTCTCAAAGAGACTGTGTATGCATTTTAAATAAATGTAACTCGTAATGAAAAATTTAAGAAATTGCATGTGTTGCGCAGTGGAACTACAGAGGTCATAGCTTGCCCATGTTACAGAATTTCTTTTTGAGAACAACATAAGTTTCGACTTCGGTATACTAAGGATAAGCCCATTTGCAGAAAACCAATTGCGCAGGTTTTTTTTATAACACTAAGTGATGGGACGACGACACTCCTGTCCATAACAGTTGCAGTGCCACTCAGAGCTTTAAATCGCAAAGATCTGAGGTGCACTGCCTCTGCGCCCATCACCCTGAGACAAAAGTTGAAAACTCCCATGTGCCGGTAATTTTACCAACAACCTTACCCTTCAACACCGGAACGCAGTAATGCTGACCTTAGCTGCTTGTAAGTATGTGTACCTAGGCTATTTTTTCGTCCTACTCCTCCGTCTGCAAATAGAAACCACATGATGTACAGTATGGCAGGTCGTTGATGAATGCAAGGAATATTTCTTTAAAAAAAAGTTTCAATGGACCCAATCATCTCCGTATTCAAAACCCACGTTAGCGTTAACCAGCTGCACACACCCAAATCCACGAACCAAGCTAGCTTGTCGAACTGAACATTGTCTTGTATGGAGAGTACGTAATGGACCGTGTCAACTATTTTGATTGTATGTAAACGTTTTACACGCTCTAATAGCTTAAATATTGTCTTTGTCGTCTTACTGTTTATAGAGCTATCTTATTCGTTGCTTTGTGTACTGGCCTACAGTGGGTCACAACCTCTCAAAATTCGTTGATGAAATTTGTACAAATGAGTCTTTATACGAATTCACAAATTCACGGCTGACCTGTAAGGGACCGTTGTCCTTGTACGTACATGGGACCTGTAAAGGGCCCAAATTATTGGTTTAGTAGAAAAACAAATATACGCGATTTAGATGCAAAAAAACAGTTTCGTTTCCTATTTAAAATCCAAAATTGTTATTATAGGTACAGGCACCTACTTCACAGCTGGAGGCGAATCTTACCATGGCCACTGGGACCGCGACAAACTAACACAAAATGAAATGGTCTCAATAATTTTCCCTGACGGAGCTAAATATGAAGGAATATTTAAAGATTGGTGTTACTACGGTGCCGGCAAGTACACCTATCCCGACGGGACTGTGTTGTTAGCCAACTTCGTGGAGAATTGTCCAGTTGGAGGAATAACTTTGTACGATCCGAACGGACACAAGTGGTTGGGTAAGGCGGAAGTAGGGTATGCATGGCTTGGACCAGTGAATCATTATTACGAGATGCTTGACAAAACTTTAGATGTCCACAAGAAGGGCCTCCGTTCTAAGACTTCATTGCCTTCGCCGCCTAGTACGAAGAAGCAGAAGAAAGTAAAAGCTTTATCTAAAACCCTAGTAACATAACATTCTTTTATAGTCTGTCTTTTGAAGATGGAGTAAAAACATTTGTAGGGTTGTGCCAGTTATCATAAAATTTTAAATAGTCATGCGGTTGTTATCGGCAGTTTCATCGATAGATTGTGAAAGAAGATAAAAGTGAATTGTGAATGTTACGACGTTCTAATGATTACTAATAGCATTGTTGCCTTCTTTATTTTTATTTTTACAGTAGTCCTTTTAAATTTTTATTCATATAGGTACATTTTAATAAGGATAGAACTTGAAAACATGTCTCCTCTTTTTATTTTCAATAGACAGTTCTAAATGTATTCAAATGGACCTGTGCCCAGCAGCTGGACGAATAATGGGCAAATGATGATTCAAATTAAACAAGTTCGGCTATCTATTGTATAAGCATAACCGACATTCAGGCCTTAGTCGATGGAGTATTTATCAACTGTAATCACTAGCTGCCACTTGTAACACTTTTGCGCAATAAACTGTCATTTTACTCCATCTTTAAAAATGACAGACTCGTTTTACCTTTTATGTTCATTGTCATTTGGAATAATAAGAACGCTGACAATAAAATTTTACTGTTTGAGCACCTTTACGGATTTATTAAACTGCTCGAGCAATAAAAAGCACAAACGAATACTTAGTTTGTTCTATACTTCTCGTGTAGATAGTATAATTTATTTCTTATTAAGTAGGTAATCTCCTCATGGACGGGTTTATTTGAGAATAAAGTTTCTTCGTTATGTTTTTTAAAGTCTTTAATGTTTAACACATTCTATTGTATGCGTCCGGTAGCTAATACGGCGGAAGTGAGTAAATGTATATTTCGTCATAAAAGCTGTTTATTTTAACAAGTAAGTAGAGCCACAATGACATGGGCAAACAGCCGATAGGGCTAAGTGTAAACACGTCAGGCAAAAGCGTGGTGGATTGAGAAACAGGCACGTCGTTTACACGCTAAGTAGTCCCCAGTTAACTCTAACAGTTAAGATCACTGTGACACTTGAATTTTACCCACTTACGGTAAACCAGCTAGCTATGTCTATGAACAGGCGCGTGCGACTTTAATACTGATTTAACCGTTGGAATTATTGCTAATAATTAATAGTGAAAGAGTTATATTACCCATTTTTCTTCACATAAAAAGCTAGAATGTCGGGTCTATAAAAAATCAACAATATATCTTGTAGTAGACTATATGGTAAACTGTACGTGTAGGGCGTAGAAATGAATATAAAACAAACAAGTGTATTATTGGGATCCAAAGAAATCTTTATCGGACTGCTGGTTCCATTCTTGGTTCCAAAACCAAAGGAAGGACCACGAAACCGGTCTATGGACACTAGTAAATCTACACGTAGTTCTCGTTTGTTAAGTTTCTCTAGTACTACACATTTATACACTTATTTAACCGACTTCAAACAGGAGAAGGTTGTCAATTTTGGATTGTATTTTGTGTGTGTGTGTGTGTGTTACGCGATTATTTCAATATTTGTTGACAGATTTCGATGGTTCTCTGTTTGTTGTACAGGGTCAATAGCACGTCAAGCTTGACACTTAAGATTTAAATCCAACTCTATGCCGCTTACGATAAGAACGGTCCAAAGTACAAAGTGTCAAGTTTGACGTGCTCTTGACTGTACTCAGTAGTTGACCCATTTCCGTCAATCAATTTCAATAAAACTTGACACATATGCAATTCCGATGAAACTAAAATGGCAGACAGATGAGAGGGATTCCTAAACAGTGTAGGTACAGCAGCTATTCGTACCTTATGTTTGACGAGGACTTCCATATGCGTTTTTATAAGATAGATCCAAAAAATAGATTCAAAGCAAAACATCGTGCAGGCCTTGATTCGATAAGCATTGTCTCAATGTTGTTAACCAACGGTAATGCTTCTTCGTTATCTGCGTCCATATTTAACTGTACCATTGTCTTGCATATTTATGCAAGGACACAGATATTGCAATCCAGTCATCTGTCAATACACAGATACCTTATAGCAGTTGAACATGCGTTGTTAAATATATACAGGGGGGTATGACGTTACCGCTTAATTCAGAAATCAACTTATTTATCTATTTGTTAATAACGTATATAATAGTATATATGTCCCATTACGGGCCTAGAATTTTCTTTAATAAGATATTACTTTTAGTCATAGTCCTAATGTGTGTGCACTGAGTGGTCGCTTTGGGCATTTACAAATCGATACCTCTCCCGATAAGTTGTGGTAAGCCATAGAATACCATTTTTAATCGACTTCAAATAAAGGAGGAGGTTCTCAATTCGACTGTTTTTTTTTTGTACGTATGTTATTCAATTACTCCGGCGTTTGGGAACGATTTTGATGATTCTTTTTTGTTGGAAAGAGGGTACCTCAGTACTGGTGACGTTTAAATTTGAAGGAAATATTCCACCTCTAAGTGTGGCAAACTAGTGGCTGAATCCTGTTGCCTGCAATTTCCGGTAGCCGATTTCAAGAAAACTTAACAAATAGATTTTGGAAATAGCCACGAACTTTTGAGGTCGGTTTTTTTTATACAAAAAAATCACAATTATTTGCTTTTTAAATAAATATATATACTTTTCGTGCGTATTATAGGATCCATGTTTTTATGATAGACCTTTGGCCGCTAGTTTCGCGTGTCAAATGAAGACCGTTGGACACCTGCTGTGATGCGGCGCCGCCTGCCGCCTGTCACGCTTTGTTTTTCATAACGAACTCTTCAACGACGAATTCCTCCTAACGAAGTCCTGCCCGAGGTCTCAGTTTCGATCCACATCACTGCATAACTCGGTATAAGCAAAGAGGAAGCTCAGCTTGGAGTACAATTCGCCCTTCACCTCAACTATTAAAGCACTTTAACGTCAAGAAAAGACAAGATCACACTTTGTAGTAACGTCTCCTCTGGTCGCGAACATTGTAAATTATAATAAACAACTCCAATACTCATCGTGTGTATGTATAGGTACTTGTTGTACCGTTCTTGTAAGTCAGCCAGACCCGAACCTTTTTTTTTGCCTGGGGAAATCATCCTAGCATATATCTCCGGAAGGCAGCGGAAGGATTCGGGATCGACTTTGCGCACTGGAACCCCCCTCCCCCAGCACCTAGGAGGAGCTACGTCCTCCCCCTCCCTCCTCACGTTACCGTCAAACATCACCGCTTCACATAAGCAGACCACTGCCTCATGGGACTCTTGATCCGCCAATATAGCCGGTACTATGCCTGGCGGAGAGAGATCTTGCCCGATCCGGGCAACCAGGATGTTCCGCTCGGAGGCCCACGCGAGGCAAGCCAGGCACGAACCCAATCCAATTAGGTGTGCAGTCCTGTTGGAAACTGTAAACCAATTGGAGGGCCAACCCGACGTTATAGACTGAATAGTCCGAGAGAGATAAATATATAGATTTTAGTTGGCCCCTCAGCCCATATACGAATTTCGTTAACATCCTGCAACTATGGAGTTCGGAGACTTCTAGTTCATTCGTATAGTCACTATTGATCTTTTGGTCAATGATTGTCACAGTAAAACTGTAGTAGGTGTTATGAATATCTATGAGTGAGATGAATACATTTCTTGAGGTGTTTCTTCTTTTCAATACGAATTAGAACAGATGCACTCATTATTCGTTTATTCATGAAATTATTATACATGATAAATGGGAAAAAATATTTCAACAAATGGTAACCCTATGAGCTTGTTACTCCATTCTTTGGGGAATCTTATCAATGATTAGTAAATGTATACATCAATCAAGTGTTGAATTAGGTTACGTATGTATTAACGATATTGTGATGAGAGTGTTTTTAGACACCGTACTTTAGTTTCTGTTCCTTTGATAGGGAAAATATTAAATTTTCGGCACGAAAATATTTATTTCTCATTGGGCACTTACTAACAACCATTTAGCACACAAAAAAGATAAAATGTGCATGCAGAACAATTGCATACGCCATACTGTTTTTATATCTTGTTTTTAGCGGCCAGGCGCGACTAGTGTTGGGTCTTGGAGAAACTTCCATTTTGAAAAAAGTTATGTTTGTCAAAAGCAAATATTTTTTTGATTGTGTTTGTTTCCTATATATATTTTGACATTTAATAGTGACACCTGTAAAAAGTTGAAGATATATGAGAATATATATGAGAATTTGTAAAAATATGCAAAGCAGTGTTTAAAAAATTATACTTAGCAATATTTATACAATTTTATTTTATAATTTATGCTGAATAAAACATTTTTTAACACCCTTGCTCGTAAAGCTGATGTAATTCCACCGGTTTTAAATATGTAAAGCGGGTCATAAAAAACGCGTGTGTTACCAAAGCAAATAGTTAAGTTATAGTCCATACAAACTCCATAACAGTATTATTTGCCATTTCAAATATGCAACTGATCGCCGCCGCACGACTCCAGCTAGTGAGCAGCGCGCTGTTGCTATTCAAATTTCGAACAAATCGCCGCGCGGCGCCAGTCAGTAGGCAGCGCTAGCGCGCTGTTAAAATGGCGGGAAAGCAACAGTGTGCATTCACAGATTGAGTTTATTTAAAAAAAAAACAGTTTATTTGGTAATTTAAAAACTTGGCTGCATGCTCTAGCGTCTTTGCCAACATTTTCACGCAGCCACGGTAGAAAATAATCCTCGCGCCATTTTTCTCAAATTTTCTTTTCTTTGTACTTGTATTGTGAATATCTAAAAATGACAACTTTCAATAATGAAGATGAGCAATATATAAAATGTTTTTTTTTCTGTTTCCTCGCAAATGTGTTAAAAAACGTCGTACGATATACGTGCGTATTGGTTATAACATGCTCGGCTCAATTAAGCCCTCGCCTTCGGCTCGGACTAAAACTCCGCCTCGCATGTTATAACCATCTTTACGCACTAATATCGTAATGTACTATAAAGGCATATAAATTTGTATTGCAATTCGATTATTTTTTGTGAAATTACTCCACTAGTTTGTTATAATTATTAATACAAAGATCGAAGACTCAGAAAAAGGCAAATCTAAACGTAGCACATAATATGGGTCTTTTTAGTATTCTGTACTAAGATTATTTTACATTTTTAATTCTGTTTTTTTTTTCGTTCCTCAAATAATGAAAAATACATTGGATGATAATGTAGCCTCATCCTATAGAGAACCAATTAATGCCTATGCATGTCTATGCGTTATGCTTAACATTATGTGAGAATTGAGCAAGACTTTTTACTTGTCTCCATTTGGTGATAGGCTTGCGTCACCTACACTGAACTGACGACCGCCTACGTTCTGCCCAAATTCGATCGTTCGTCTATTTAATTTAATTATCTGTTCATTATTCGGCTTTGGTATAAGTAAATCAAAAGTCGCAGCTGTTCGTGCAACAGTCCGTAATTGTCAACGCGGCTTGAACTAAAAGTT